GCGATTACGTTAAATTAACGTAAAGTCTAGTTAAACTAGATAGCTAGTGCTATAAGCATACGCTAAGAGTTTAATTAAGAAGTTAATGTAAAGGTTTTGTTATAGTTAAGGCCTTGCCTTTACTAAAAGCCTTTAGCTACTAGCCTTACCTTCTTCTTTATCTCTTCTTAATTTAGTCCTTACTTTTACTATAGCACCTACTTGCTAGTAATCGTCTTTCTGCTTTTTAGTTAGTTTATAAACTTAAAGACGCCTTTTACAATTAAGCTGTCTACCTTCCTAAATATAGCCTTATACTATTAATCTAACTTGCTTTCTAATAGCGCCTTCTTTATAGTTAGCTTATCTTTTTCTATATTGTGCGCACTTAGTGCGCGCTATATAAGGTCTATACTGCTTACTTTTATTAGATTGCGCGCGGCCTAAGGCAGCACTATGCGTTTGTAAATAAAAGTTAGATCTAAGATTATAACAATCTCCTAAGGTTGATTTAGAATGCTAGCTTAGTCTTGCAAAGGCTCTTTAAAGTTTTCTAGATTAAAGATATTATCTAGATCTTTATCTAGATTAGGCTCCTTCTTAACGTTAGAGTTAGGTTCTAGGATAAAGACGTTATAGTCCTACGTTTTCTAATTGATTGTTACCTTCTTAGTGCGGCGCTAGACTCCTTTAGGCTAGGATTTAATTAAATCTACGTCTTTTATAATTTCTTCGAATATATACACGTCTTTTATAACAATAAGCTTACTACGAAGGATAGCCTAACACCTATATAGGTAAGTCCCTTTAAAGCTTATAAGCATAGCCTTTTTGCCTTATAGTTTAAGCTTTAAATCGCCTACCTTCTAAATAACTTGTTTAAGTTTTTGAATTATAGCTTTAAAGCTAATTGTGCGCAAGTAAGAGGCGTCTAGTATAAAGTTTTCGTCCTTCTTTTAACTGTTATTACGTTGTTACTAGACAATTAGCACCTCCTCTTTAAAGTTAGCTATATAGTTTTAAATATAGGTTGCTAACTTATAAACTTTTAGCTAGAGTATAGAGGGGATACAACCTTAAAGATAAAGTAGTCTAGTGCGAATAATAACCTTCTTAACTACCCTCTTAGCTTCTTTATTCTTAGCTAAGTTGTATAAAGGGCTAAGGATTACCCTAATGCCTCTTAGCACGCAGTAGCGCTTAATGGCTATAATAGCGATGTCTATGCCGTTATTAAGGTAAATTCGAACAAGCTTATAGCTTAGTTTATTTGCGTTTCTTTTAAGCATTGCTTTAATTGCAAGCAGTGCTTTTGTTTTCTTTTTGTGCACTAGCACTTTAATTAAACCTATAAATTTATCCTTAATAATAGTAATATACCTTAACTTGTTATAGCTAACTTGCTTAAATTAGCCTAGGTTAACATAATATACCTCTCTTAGTCTTTATATATAAATTTTATGTTTATCTTTTAGCTTAAAGTGCTTAGCCTTTACTAGTTTATAAGGGGTATAAACTAGCTTAGTGTTTTCTATAACGTTTTCTAGCTTTATAAGCCCTTCTTTTACTTACTTTAACGTCTCTTTAAGCGCTCTCTAAGATAGGTAACCTATCCTTTAATAAATAAGGCGTAGTTTCTAGCGCTTGCTTAAAGACTACGTATAGCTTTTAGGTTAAATTCGTTAAATTTAAGATTAGTCTTAGCATCTTAAACAAAGTCTTAGTAAAATTCCTAAGCCGCACAATTTATCTTCTTTTAACTCTCCCCTTACATAAGAGAAGGCTTGTTTTAAATTAGCACAAAGAAGCTAGTCTTTTTAATGTTAAATTAGCAAAAGGCTGCCCTATCTATAGCTACTAGCTTAGTGCTATTAATGTAATTGCCTGCCTTATAAAAGCGCAGGCTAAACATAATGTTTAAGAGGAAGCCTAGTACTAAGAAAACGTAGTTTAAGGTTGCTCTATATGCCGTGCTATTTAGTCCTATTATCTAAAGCACTACTTAGCCCGCAAACTTAGTAATAACAAGGCTACTACTAGTATAAATTATAATTGTAGCGGTATACTCTATACTAGGTTCGAACTAACTAGGGTTGTTAGTAATATAAATATTACCTCTTATATTAAATAGCTAGTCGTCTATATAGCTACTATAAAAGTTATAGAAAAAGGCATAGTAGGCATAACCCTCCGTTAGTTAAAGGCATAGATCTAAGCCTTTGCAATTTGTTTACGCATTTAGCGCGCAGCTATCGTTATTTATAGTAACAATGCTATTATGTAACTTATAGCAAAGGTTTACGTTTACCGCTTCTTACAAGTTATCGGTGATTATAACTGCACTAAAATCGGGTGCTAGCATAAACGTAAGCACCTTATCTATAGGTCTAAACTAGACGGTAGTTATAAAGCTAACTACTTTACTAGAGAGTTCTTTCTCTACTATATTACTAGTTTTACCTCTAAAGGCTTACTTAGAGCAAAGCTTTAAGTTCTTCTTCTAGCATTTAGTAATTATATGCCTAGTGCAATCGTAGTGCGTGTATTTCGCGCCCTCTTAGCGTTTGCTAGGAGCCTTAGTTTTTAGGTTTTTAGTGCTATAACTGCCGTCTTTTTCCTTAGTCGTTTTATTTTTAGTTTTAATTTTATTAGTACTAGTGCTGCTGCTATTGCTGCTTTTAGCGTTTAGTGTAGCAAACGTCCGCTTCTTACAGCGGTTAGTAATAAAAAGCTTTACCGCTATATAAACTTTGTTGTTAGCTATAGTAGTCTATCTACTTCGCTAAAGGTTAAGCACTTCTACGTTTAAGGCAGGAAACTTTCTATAAATGCAGCTAATTAGATTTATAGCCTTTTGCTTGCCTGTAAGCAGCTTAACATAGGTATTATAGCCGCGAATAATTTCTTCGATTCTAGTGAAGAAGTCCTCTATCTTTTCGCTATTGTACTAGCGCATTGTTGTCTAAAATTTAGTGCTATAATTAATAGCTAGATTAGCTTCCTATGGTTTTAGGAGCTGTTTAAGCGTTTTGTAAATAATCTTAATGTTATTTCCTTTAGTCTGCTTAAGCAAGCCGTCGTTAACCTGTAAGGTTATAGCGTATTTAATCGATTAACGGTTGTTAGTAGCTATCTGCCTAACAGTAGTAAAATCGTTAATGCCTAGCAGACTAAGGCCTTTAAATACATTCTTCTTTTATTTATTCTAGTCTGCGCCGCTAGTAAGCGTTGGCACTTGCTTTAAGTAGTAGCTTATAAACAGCTTAATGCATGTTAGGTTAACCTAAATTGGATTAGGCGCTGCTGCACTGGCTTATAACATAGTAGAAGATTTGGGTTTTAGTTCTAGATTGTAAAAAGATTTAAAGGTTTGTGACTACTAATTATGTTCTTTACTACTAGCGTCGTTTTCGTTGTTTAGAGTGTCTTCGTTAAGCTTAGCCCTGTAAATGCTATTTTCGTTAGCCACGTAAATGCTGCTTCCAATGCTTAATTTAGACTTAGCGTCTAATTCTAATTTAACAATTAAAGGTCTACTGCTTAGTCTGCCACTAGGAGTTCTGTTCTAGCTAGGCGAGGTTATAAATATAACCTTAGTAATCTTAACAAGGTTCTTTTCGTCCGTTAGATTAGTGCTTAAAGCACTAGGTGCTTTACAAAGTGTATTATAAAGGCTTTTTGGTTTATTTGTTTAGCTTCTCCTAGTCCTCTTAGGCTAGGCTTATAACCTATAAAGGTTAAAGAAGGCTATACGTAGCGGTTATATAACGTGATGCACTATAAGGAGCAAGAGGCTAAATAGGGTTTAGTGTAAGCGAAAGAGTGTTATATACTAAGGAAGAAATAGATACATCGCGACCCTTCTAGGGATCCGTATTAATACTAGTGTTAGGCCCTGCTTTTATGCCTTCTAACTAATTACAGGCCCGTACGGCCAAGTAGGGCGGAAGGGCTACAGTGTGGCGGATTTTAATGCTTGACATCTACTTAAGCAAGCTGTTATTAACCTATAAGGTTATAGCGTATTTAATCGATTAACGGTTATTAGTAGCTATCTACCTAATAGTAGTAAAATCGTTAATGCCTAGCAGGCTAAGGCCTTTAAATACATTCTTCTCTTATTTATTCTAGTCTACGCTACTAGTAAGCAGTAGCACTTACTTTAAGCAGTAGCTTATAAATAGCTTAATGCATATCGGGTTAACCTAAATTAAATTAGGCGCCGCTGCACTAGCTTGTAATATAGTAGAAGATTTAGGTTTTAGTTCTAGATTATAAAAGGATTTAAAAGCTTATAATTGCCAATTAGGTTCTTTACTACTAGCGTCGTTTTTGTTGTTTTAAGTGTCTTCGTTAAGTTTAGCCCTATAAATGCTACGTTTGTTAGCTACGTAAATGCTACTTTCAATGCTTAACTTAGACTTAGCGTCTAATTCTAATTTAACGATTAGAGGTATACTGCTTAGTCTGCCACTAAGAGTTCTGTTCTAGCCAGGCAAGGTTATAAATATGCCCTTAGTAATCTTAACAAGGTTCTTTTCGTCCGTCAGATTAGTGCCCAAAGCACTAGGTGCTTTACAAAGCGTATTATAAAGGCTTTTTCGGTTTATTTATTCAGCTTCTCCCGGTCCTCTTAGGCCGGGCTTATAACCTGTAAGGGTTAAAGAAGGCTATACGTAGCGGTCATATAACGTGATGCACTGTGAGGAGCAGGAGGCTAAATAGGGTCTAGTGTGGGCGAAAGAGTGTTGTGTACTAAGGAAGAAATAGATACATCGCGACCCTTCTGGGGATCCGTATTAATACTAGTGCCAGGCCCCGCTTTTGTGTCTTCTAACCAATCACAGGCCCGTACGGCCAAGTGGGGCGGAAGGGCCACAGTGTGGCGGATTCCAATGCTTGACAATAGTATGAATTTACTGTGATCTTACACATGTCTGGTGCAGATCCCATTTTGTGCTTGGCTGTTTCGGGCCACTCGTCTACCTCGTCTGCCGAAACGAAATACAAAGTACGGAGTAATGGCCGGCACAGAGCAGACCCTGTCAAATGACGACGCAACAGCGGAGGTATTGGCCCGGTGGCAGACGCTGATTGCCGAACATGAAGCTTTGCGCGATACCCTTCGTGAATACGTCCAACAGCCACACTGGCCGGGCGTGGGTCCCTGCATATCGATGCTGAAGACCGAGGCGGCCACGGTGGCGCGTCTTCTGGCTGCACGGGCACGACTGCAGGCAGCGGGTAGCCGACAGGATGACGGCAAGGTGAAGCCAGAGATTTCCAAAGAGGAGGAAGCGGTGGGAGCCAAGCTGGCGGCCTCTAACCTGTCGGCCCGCGAGGTAGCATGGGGGGCGATCAAGAAGCGCAGCGGGCTTCTCGCATTAGATCGGCGGTTTCCCAAGATGATTGCCGGACACTTGAATGACGCAAAGCCAGCGAAGCTTCGCGGAGGAGGCGTTCGCTACAGCGGCGGCCGCACGGAGGGAGTGTTTGTCAACGCGGTGGTGGACGATGGACGAGAGTGGCTACGCATATTGACGACGACAGAGTCGCAGCTGTTGATGGAGATGGCCGAGAACGGGTGGGAGTTTGAGGAAAGGGAAGAGGCGGACGAGGACCAAGATAGCAATGCTAACAACAGCGATCTCGATCTCGACCACGTCTCCATCGTGTCTGCGGCCATCGACCTCATGCAGGCTGCCCAGGCCAACCGATTCCGTGGTGCACCGCCGCGGGTCTGCATCCTGCTGAGCCGCATCTCCGAAGGGGGAAGGACGGGTCGGACGGCCGACTTGGATGTGTTGCTGCGTCTCTTCCGTCAACGGGTGCAGACCGTTGGCAGCGCTGCCGGTGTGGCTGTGACTGTCCACAGCGCCAGTTCGGTCGCGTTCACATCGCTACCACCACCGCTAGAAGTAGCCCTCAAGCGGCTGATGCCGGCCATCACAGCCATTGGTGGCGACGGTCTGTCGTCCACGCTCAACATCGACACCTCCATCCTCATTGCCCTGGCTTCCGACATAACTCACGGGCCGGTCACCGTCGAGTCCTGGCACCCGCGCCAGCGCGTCGACGAGATCACCCGCGAGACTGAGAAGCCCGGCGACGTCCTGCGCCGTCTGCTAAACGACGTCCTGCGAGGCCGCCGTCTCGTCTGCACTCGTGAGGCTGCCCTAGCCTTCCGCAATATGGTCCGCGGCATGGGTCAGCAGACTGAGAAGGCCCGGGCTGCCGTGCTGGTTGGAGACGAGGAAGCAGGCAACGGGACTTATGGCCACCAGAACAGTCATAGCCTCGGCCTTCTATCCACCTACCGCGGCCTCTCGTCTTACCCCGACGTCATTCCCGACGACCTCCATCTGCCCATCACCGTTGTTGCTGACGACTGGGACGTCGTCCGCATCCTCCGCGCCGTCGACGAGGAATCTCTCCCTGCAGCTGCTGCCGCCGTCGTCCACGAGATGACTGCCGTCTTGCCCACGGCTGTCCCAACCCTGGCCGTCTTCTTCTACGGTTGGGCCTCGCATCACGCCACCATCACCACCAATATGGCCGCTAAGAACCGCATCGAACGCTTGCTCGAGCAATTCCGCACCTCCCCCGACGAGGACGGTCCTGCTGTCTGGGTCTGCCGCTCCGTCCGCAGTCTCAATGGGACCAATCCGCGGAGCCAACGGTAAGCCTGGCTGCCAGACCTCGCTCCAGTGTTGTGTGTACTTATGTCACAGATCCATTAGCAAAAATAGACATGTAAAAGCTTGGCGTTATAGACGGTTGGCTGGTCATGTCCCTGAACCGGTCCTGAAGTGGAATCTTGGCCATATAAACAGCAGAGGAACAACCGCAGCGAACCGTTCTAAACTAAGTCTTGCGTAACCTAGTACGAACTTGAGTAGGTAAACAGTGCCTGCTGGAGTTGAGCTCTGTATCTCCGTATGAACCAAACCGACTCGCGTTCTCGCTCTCTGAAGTCTGATACTGGGTGTCGTAAACAAGAAACTCGAGCACTGTTGGGGCAAGCGTATGTGTTGCAAGTAAGAGACTCTCCGGATGATTGTTGTTGCAACACGCCTGTTCACTAGTAGTCTGTTAGTTCAGGCTTCGACAATGTTCTCCTCTCCACCGCTCGTACCGTGCCTGCCGGACTACGCTGCAGTCTTTTTTCTTACCTCAAGAGTCTTGATATTGGCATCTCTTTCTTAGATTATATACAGAACAAGGGAGGGCTAGATATATAGTCGCATGTGATATTGAAGTTGATTGCAACGTGTACTCCGTAGCTCTTTGTCTTTTCAGAGACGGTTGACTTATATACAGACAATGACGTCCCGAGAAATCGCAGCCATTTCAGCTTCTTTAATCCCCTTTATCCCACTTCATCCCATTCAAGTGACCAGATGGCGGTCCCAGCTCATCCAATTGCTGAGAACTTGGCATTATCTTGTTACAAGGCCAACATGTTACGAAGGATCTATTCTGCCGTTGGTTTTCGCATGAAAGAATTTGCACAATTCATTCGCAGAATGTGCTGTCCAGCTTCAAGATACCTCGTATCAAGTTCAGAAACCCAGTCGCCGTGTAGTCAACACCTTGTATTGGGCCAGTCCAACAATTTCTAGCTGGTCGTACCTAACTGCGTCCGGCAGCCGCTTGAAGCTTTCCCTCCTTACAAATCAAGGATATGCTTCGGAAAAACACTGCGAGGCCAGCCCTCAGTTTGCAGCTAGCACGAGTGTGCACATGAAGAGAGCCTGCTAATATACTCTGTGATACAACAGTAATATATATTAGCCAATGATATTACCGACGACCTAGTTCCCAATGCGGAAAGTTATCTCGAGGTATGCGGAATAAACATGATGAATTCTTATCTTATAGCTACATACGTGCACTAGCTTTGGAATCACTGGAACATCAGCCGATATCCGGGAAAATAAATAGTATATAAACGCAACGCCGGCCGACTAGAATTTCGAGGAATCGTGCTACCACTAGACCATACTAATCCGGACTGCCGCTCAACTGACTATTTCGATAAGCACGGCAAACCATCTCGACATCAAGATGCCCTCCGGAAGCTGTCTTTGTGGCAAGATTGCCTTCTCATTCTTGGGTAAGTCATGTTGCGCTTCGGTACTTGAACCAGAAACTATCGAAAAAATAAAGCTAATACAACCATCAGTCGAGCCGGCTCTCACAGCTCTCTGCCACTGTGTAGACTGTCAGAAGTGGGGGAGGGTGGTGGTTACAGCTCGAATGTGGCTATCCCCACCATAGACTTCCATATAACACAGGGCACGCCCAAGAAGTTTGTTCGCAAGGGTATTTCGGGTCTTGACCAACGCCTGTTTTTCTGCGGCGGTAAGTTGAGACTGTCTTTCGAATGGAACCGGTACTAGATCCAACTAATACGATGCAGATTGCGGAACTAATCTGTTCGTCCAGCCCGAGTCCATGGAAGGCACAACGTTGGTCAGGGCCGGCTCCCTTGGTGATAGCGCATCGGATTTTCCCATCAAGGTCGAATTCTTCACCAAGGACCGTCGCAGCTACAACACTCCTGTGCAAGATGCTCAACAGAACATAGCCAATACTTAGACGTCCTAAAAGGGGGTAATTTGAATCCGACATGGCTAGTGAGGACGTAGGCATATATTTAAAGAGACAGAGGTGGAGACTATGTGGCTTGAATACAATTTGGTATAGGAACTATGCGAAGCCAGTTACGTGGAATCACGTCCTATTGCACGGAAACTCCTCATCGTACGGGTTACCAGCACCCCTTACCAACTCATCAGTACACTGCAGTCAGGAGCTATCTTCTCGTCGTGTAGCCGAGCATTGGGCAGACGCCGCACCACCTAGGCTGAGTACAGTCGCCGAGTTGAAAGTATCACAGAACCTTGTGTCCTCGGGGGGTCTTGCAGCTCCAAAAGTGGGTAGGAATATAAGTCTCTCTGTCTAGCCAGAGAATTCTTTCCAGAAGCAGACACTGAACACTTTGCAGTCCCCTATAACGTAAAAAATAACAAGATCGAGGCAGTCTCTCCAGAGATTCGCCCGAAAGGTATACGATTTGGGACCGGCAAAGCTATCGTCGTGCCGAAGGTCGCCCAACTCATGCCACAGTTCGCAGCCGTCTGGAGAGGCCAATAGCCTCAAGAAAAGCCGACCGAATGTGTGCACAAGAAATGATATTACGCCCCCCCCCCCCTTAACAGTCTACCTGTCTTTCGTGCGCAGTGTTTATTGCCATTCTCTCCATGATGTTGTGATCAGGAAGCGTTGGGCGGAAAACGGTTGCCGCTCTGCAGCAACACCAACGAACCCGCGGGGCCGCTGTCACATGCCAATTGAACAACGGTCCCTGTGCCGCCACTAGCCCGCATCTACCCCCAAGGCAGGTGCGGATTGACGCTAGCACGCTAAAACTGTTGGGTTCTCAACATTCCTTCTCGCATTAGGGGGCGTTACGGCAGAGACACCAGGCCCGACAGGCAGTCGTTTGCTGCTGTGACTGGGCATAGACGTCACTGCTCCTTTTGGTGCAAGCAAGCGTTACGGCGATCTCGTACAAAATGCCACCAGTGGCCTTTGTACGGGACGACTTTCTCCGTGTCTCCGTGGGGCAGCCGGATCGGTAGGCCTTGACGAGTGCTATCCAGAGGGCCAAGAGCCGGCTAAGTAGCGAATCGCCCCTCTGCGATTTCGCAGTTTTCGATTTCAGCAGGCACGTGAGACGTTTGGTTGGTCGATCGCCCCTGCCTCTTGTGGCTGCTTCGTGGTTCCTTCAGGCTCTCTACATATCTTGGAGATTTTGTGGACCTTCTGCTTCCTCACACCTCTCTCACTCCATCATCAGAAATGGATTTTCTCGACACCAGCGTGGATTTGGCGACGCTCTTCCGGCGTCAGGTCGAGGCTACACCCGAGGCAGTGGCAGCAGAGGATGCGACGAGCAGCTGGACATATGCGGAGCTGGACGCAGCGGCCGAGCGGGTGGGCTTGCGGCTGCGCAGCTCGTTTGGCGTGGGCCGTGACGTGCTGGTGGGCGTGCTGATGGGCCGCAGCGTGCAGTATGTGGTGGCCTGTCTTGCGGCGATCAAGGCGGGCGGCGCCTTTCTGGTGCTGGAAGTGGCGTATCCGGCGGGGCTGCTGGCGGACGTGATCGACGATGCGCGGCCGGCCGTGGTAATCACGTCGCCGAGTACAGCAGCCCAAGTGCCGGCCGGCATAGCAGCTTTCTCTTTGGGTGACGGTGCGGCCATGAAGCAGTCGTGGCCACTCGGACCATCGTGGCCATCGACACCGTTACAGCCTCTGCCAAATGCCACCGACATCGACCGGCTCGCATTTGTGTCCTACTCATCGGGCACCACTGGCCGGCCCAAGGGCATCGCCAATCCACACAGCGCGGCCGTGCGATCATACAATCTGCGGTTCTGCTTCAGCGACGTGGCTGCTAGCGACCGCGTGGCCTGCAACGTTTTCTTTGTCTGGGAGATCCTGCGGCCACTGCTGCGTGGCGCCACGACCGTGACTGTGCCCGATGAGACCAGCTACGATCCCGTTGGCCTGGTCGAGTTCTTGGCTGCTCACGCCATCACCGAGACGCTCATGACACCCACACTGCTGGCCACCGTGCTGGCTCGCTACCCGGCCGACCTGGCTGCCCGGCTGCCTCGGCTACGCACCCTCTGGCTCAACGGCGAGGTCGTCACCGTCGATCTGGCCCGCCGTGCCCTCGCGGCCCTGCCGCCTTGGCCTGCTGCCCGCCTGCTTAACTGCTACAGCGCCAGCGAGACCCACGAGATTGCCTGCTGCGACCTAGCCACCATCTTCCCCACCGACGCTACCGTCTGTCCGGCCGGCGTGCCGCTTGACCCGGCTCACACATACATTCTTTCCGACGCAGAGCACGGCGCTGATGTTGGCGTTGGCGTCAGCGGCGAGCTGTTTGTCGGTGGCGGCTTGCTGGCCCGCGGCTATCTCAACCGCCCCGAGACGACGGCCGCTGTCTTTCTGCCCGACCGTTTCGACGACACCACCGGCGCCCGCATGTATCGCACCGGCGACCGAGCTCGCCGGCTGCCCTCGGGCGCCCTCGAGATCAGCGGCCGCGTCGGAGGCATGATTAAGTTGCGTGGCTACACCGTTCAGCCGGCCGCTGTCGAGGCTGCCATCGTCAAGCACCTCGCTGTGCGCAGCTGTGTCGTTCTTGGCGTCGGCGAGGGCCTGTCTCGCCAGCTCGTTGCCTACGTTGTGCGCGACGAGACCCCTGTCGGTGGCCCCGAGGACCGTCCCGGCGATCCGCGCAGCCGTGCCCGTCTCGATATCGATGCTGACGGCCGCAGTCCGCTCGCCCGTCGCCTGCTGGCTGCCCATCTGGCTCACTACATGGTTCCGGTCGTCTGGGTCCCGCTCGAGGTTCTGCCTACGCACAAGGTCTCGGGCAAGATCGACGTCAAGGGTCTGCCGCCTCTGCGCCTCGGCTTGACACCACCAGAGACCCCGCGCGATGGAAGCGTCCGTGGCGATGTTGTTGATGCTAGCGAGATCGCCGATGTCGACACGGTCGACACTGTCAGCAATGTCAGCTCTCTCACCGCTGACGTAAGCCGCCACTGGGCCGCCTGTCTCGGCGTCGAACCCTTAGCCGTTACGGCCGACTTCGACTTCTTCGACCTTGGTGGGCACTCGCTGGCTCTCGCCGACCTTGCTAGTCGCCTGTCGCGTGCCTATGGCGTCACCGTCCCCCTGATAGAGCTCGCCCGCAACCCGACTCTTAATGGTCACGTGCAGGCCGTACAGGCTGCCCGTGCCGGCTTCTGTGGCGATGACGATGATGTTGCTGAGCGACTGCGGGCCCGTCTTGAGGAGGACTGCCTGCTGCCCGATGACATCCGCGCTGCCGAGTCGCCAGCCACTCCCACCCCTATTAGCCAGGCCGACCACATCCTGCTGACAGGCGCCACCGGCTTTCTGGGCGCATCTCTGCTGGACGCCCTTATCACCCACACGACTGCCACCATCTTCTGTCTGGTGCGCACCACCCGTGAGGCCCCCTCTGGAATGGCCCGCCTGCGCCGCCACCTGCTGGACCTAGGCCTCTGGCACGACGCCATGGCCGACCGCATCGAGATCGTGTCCGGCGACTTGGCTCAGCCACGTCTCGGCCTTACTCCGCCCGAGTTCGACCAGCTGGCCGTCCGCGTCCAGGCTATCATCCACGCCGGCGCTGCCGTCAATCTCGTCTACCCTTACGACGCTTTACGCGATGCCAACGTCGGCGGCACGCGCGAGGTCTTGCGGCTAGCTGCTGCCGCCGCTAAAGGTGAGGCCTCCTCTGCAGCCACGGTCCACTTCGTGTCCACCAACGGCGTCTTGCCACCGGCCACAGCCGCCTGGCCCGAGAACGCACACATCGACGCCGCTGACGCCGCCATCAAGCTGGCCGACGGCTACTGTCAGACCAAATGGGTGGCTGAGCAGCTCGTCAGCGAGGCTGCTGCCCGCCGCGGCATTCCCGCCCGCATCTACCGTCCAGGCACGCTGGGCGGCCACAGCCGCTCCGGCGCCTCCAACCCCCGCGACGTCGTCACCGCCCTGATTGTCGAGTCGCTGCGGCTCGGCCGCTCACCTCCTGCCAACGCTGACGCTGACTGGCGCGTCGAGATGACGCCCGTCGATTTTGCTAGCGAAGCCATCGTGGCCCTGGCCGACACCTCTGACAGCACCACCATCTTCCACGTGGGCGACCCCGACGGCCTGTCCTCTACCGACCTATTCGCCCGTCTGGCCACGCTCGGCTACCCTACCTCTCCTGCCGGCTCCTGGAATGAGTGGGTGGCCCTCTGGAATGCCCGCCAGGGTGCTGCTGCTGCCTGTGCTCCGGCTCCTGCTACTGCCTACGACGACCCTTCGCCCGCAGACATCCTTCGCTCCGGCATGCCCTCGGCCGATTTCTTCCGTGCCGCCACCCTTCTCGACGACTCCTGCACGCAGTCGTTGCTGCGAACCTGCCGCGACGACGGCCCCATCGTGCGCCCCAGCCTCGACCTGGCACTTTTGCGCACGTACACCCGCCACTTCTACTCGCGTGGCTGGCTGGCCAAGGGGCCTATCAAGACGGCGTTCATCGCCGGCGCTGACACCACTACACCAGTAGCCAAGCCAGTCCTTCCTCTGGCCGGCCGTGTTGCCGTCGTCGTCGGGGCCTCGTCAGGCATCGGGGCCGCCATCGCCACGGCTCTCGTGCGGGACGGTGCCCATGTGGCCATTGCCGCGCGCCGCGTTGACGTGCTGAAGAACCTGCAGCAGAAGCTCGAGTGCGAGGGCGCCGATCACGGCTCCAAGGTGCTGGCCCACGCGGCAGACGTCACAGACGCCGCGCAGGTTGATGCTCTCGTGGCCGCGGCTGTGCAGCAGCTTGGCGGACCGGTCGACATCCTCGTTGTCTGTGCCGGCGTCATGTACTTCACCATGATGGCCAGTGCACGCGCCGACGAGTGGACGCGCACCGTCGACGTCAACTGCAAGGGTCTGCTGCACTGCCTGGCCGCCACGGTGCCGGCCATGACTCAGCGCGGCACTGGTCACATTGTCGCCATCTCGTCTGACGCCGGCCGCAAGGTATTTCCCGGCCTCGGCGTCTACTCCGGCAGCAAGTTCTTCGTCGAGGCCGTCCTGCAGAGTCTACGCGTCGAGACTGCCGCCTCTGGACTGCGCGTCACCTCCGTCCAGCCTGGCAACACTGCCACCGACCTGCTGGCCCTGTCTACCGACCCCGAGGCTATGGAGAAATACGGCGCCCCTACTGGTGCCAAGGTGCTGGACCCCGAAGATGTGGCCTCGGCCGTCATCTACGCCCTACGCCAGCCCGCTCACGTGGCTGTCAACGAGGTGCTGATCGAGCCGCGCGAAGAGCCGATATGAGCGTGCCCAGATAAGGACATTATTCAACAAGCCCGAACCTGGGCGGCGACTGGTTGGATGTACCAACAGTCCCCGGGCCCAGGCTCCGAAAGAATCTCTCTTCCTTGCCGAAGCCGGCATCCGGGATCGAATCAACTTCCTTCTCAGACTAGACTAGATAGACATCCGCTTCGATTCGCGACCCTCCCGGATTGATCGCAATACACGATTTCACAGCGTCAAACGTGCCATGCTCTACGGTCTACTTTGAAGAAGCCCGCGGTGGGGGTTCCCGTGGCTATCATGACAAAAGTGGCGGCCAAAGCAGCTGGACACGCCCCGTATTTCGATCTGCACGCGTATGGAGCACAAGCCAGACGAGTGCACGCGAGTAATACCAGGCTGTGCTCGTACAGCGAAGTTGTTCTTCTCGCGCTTTAGCCATGCACTCAATCCAGACACAGACATCTTCCGTGTGACTCTTGTAAGCCCTTGTCCTGAAAGCTGTTAGACGCCCTACCAATCACAGTCGTTTCAGCTGCCAGGACCTAGATCTTCGTAGTACTCTGTACAGCAACTGTCTGTGGCAATTCGGGAGCTCGGCATCTTCTGCGTGGCGGGCCAGGACTAACATTTAGGCGGCTTGGCGAGCGCGGGGCTGATGCAAGGAGGACAAAATCTATGCGCGGCTGCGACTGAGAATTTCCGATTTTGGAGAAGCAGCCATTACGACGTACAGACAAAGTCTGAAAAACGGGCGTTTTCGAGACAATTCTAACAAAGCCACTCCGAAACGACCGACCCCCTTTTTGGCGCTGGTCTAGGCTGGCTCTAGGTCGATCACTCCAGCGCAATTGGCACGCAAGGACAAATTACGAATGCCAGAGATGCTAAGTGGGCGGGCAGCCAGGCGCGTCAGCCTTTTGTCCACAAAGGACTCGCTTCAGACACGAACACGGACTCTGACCACCGACTGACACCGGATTGGCATCGACGTTGACGCTTTCTCGACCTCCGAATCGATTATCTGCACCGCGTCTGTACAGATGATAGAGCCGAGTGGCCGGAGCTAATCTTGTCGTTGATAGTCCAGTGATTACGTATCACCTTTCCGATCGCTTCGTTCGGCGCAGCCGCTTCGCACGCAAGGTTCCAATGGAGTTCGGCGTGTCCAGACGAGTTGTGACCATCGCACTAGCAGTGCTGATTATCATCTATGTCATCCGGCTTACGCCAAGAGAGGCAGTTGCCAACGTGTGTTCAGACAATGGCTTTGTCCTTTTTTTTTTGGGGGGGGGGGGGGAATGGGGAATCGCCAGCTAACCGCTTCCTTTGTCAGAGAACAAAATCGTTTTTCGACTCGACTACCGGCGTCCTCAAGTCTGCGGCCGACAGCACGGCCGATGTCACCGCTGATGACGATCGTCCGGCCTTTCACATACGAGACAAAGTTGCTCTCCTGACCGACACCCAGTTCTCGCCTCGCACGATCCCGCTCATCCTGCACTTTCACGCCGTTCTTGGCCCCGACTGGCCCATCGTCTTTTACACCTCCGAGGAGACTGCGAACGCCCACCTGCGCAACGGTCAAAACGGTTCTGCCGTCTGGAACCGTGCTGTCGCCAGCGGCGCTATCGATGTCCGCATCATCCCCGACGAGTACAACATGACCACCCGAGAGGGCGTCAACGTCTACCTGTCGCGTCCCTGGCTGTGGCGCCAGCTGGCGCCTGCCAGCCACGTCCTCGTCTTCCAGACAGACGCCATGATCTGCGCCAACGCCCACCGCACCGTCGACGACTTCCTCGAGTGGGACTTTATCGCTGCGCCCCTGCACACCACCCAGAAGCTCTTCAACGGCGGCCTTTCCCTGCGCAACCGCACCATGATGCTCGAGATCCTCGACGAGGACAACAACTGGGAGGTCGAGACCGCTGCGGGCACATGGACTCTCGGCGGCGAGGACATCTGGTTTTCTCGCAAGATGGACCTGCGCGGTGCCCACCTGCCCACCTTTGACCAGGCCATCAAGTTCGCCTGCCAGCACGAGTGGCACACCAGCCGCGAGAAGGAGCCGCTCGGTTATCACAAGGTCCACAAGGTAGCCCAGTCATCACTGCCCGAAATCACAAAATGGTGCCCCGAAATCGCCCTGGCAGCTCCGGGAACGCTGGCCCAGTGAACTTGCATTGAAACGGTATACGAGCGTCAAGTTCAGGCTGCTCGGCTGGCCGAGCGTATCTTAGCATCCTATTGCATTGCGTGTTTTTGTTCTGGTGAGCTTCCATGTTCGCTGCATGTTCTCGTCATTGTATATCGTAAAGGGGTTTCGGTTTCTGGTCTTTGGTTACGGGCAACACCACCGGTGTGCTTTTTAGATGGTGGTCGATCTCTGGGCTTTTTTAGGCACAGATCGGGATGGCCTTGTTTTGTTCTGCGGAATATGTGTGGCAATAAATTATACATACATTTGTTTTCTCAAGTCATACTCGATCTACCATTAAAGCTTCCAGCTTGCGTTCAGTCCTGCCTCTTCGTGCGCCGTACAGATCCCGTCCTGGTACTCTGTCGCCACGTGAACTCCAGAGGGACTCCAGATCTTATTCATCACAATGGCTCGCCCGGCAGCTGCCCTCGGGAAGCACACCTCTTGCACCCACCAGTGGCCCAGATCATCACCGGCACCGTGACCGTCATGATACGCCATCACGGCAGATTCAACATTGGTGTGTACAACGAAGGTGTTGCTAAGGCTAGCCACCTTCTCGTTCAGAGCAAAGTTGAGATTGTTTGCCGCCATCAGCAGTCCATTGCGGTCCGCGGTATATGCGTGCACAAGAACGTGGCTGTCTGCCTCGACAGCTGTCTCGTGAGGCAGTGGTGCCAACAGCCGATAAAGGATCAACTCGCGCTGCTCATGCAGAGGCCGGCCTTCGTTGTACGGCCCCATCTCAACCTTTTTCATGTCGGCAATGGGAAATGTGCCGACTATGTCGCGGCGCCCCATCACGGCCAGGATGACGTTCATGTCCACGGGTGGGCTTGGATCCCAGCGGGATGGCAAGCGTGTCTCCAGTATCGAGGCAAACCGTTTCTGCACCGGCGGCTCTTGTCGGTCCTGGCCGAGGCTGTGCGGTTGCGGCTGGACGAAAGACACGACAGCCATAAAGCAGACCGGGCCGAGGGGCATATTCGCATCCGCTAGAGGGAAAGGCTTACCGAACAGGACGGCGCTTGGCTGCAGTGGCTGCCGGGCATCGACGCGAGCTGTGACGAACGATCGGCCCCGAGTCATGACGGTTACATTGTAGACAAAGGGCCGGTCATGCTTCCCCTTGCTGGTAAAGTAGCCATGAATTGTCTGGCTCGTAATGTCAGGAGGGCAGGAGATATCGATGAAGCACGTGGGCTTACATGAAGGCCGGGAGAGGCACCGTTTTCCTTTCCCCCATCTTCTTCCCCTACCGTCTTGCATACAGCCAAGACGGACTGCGAATATACATGTCCACCAAAGGCGGCATCGTGGGCTCGGAACTGACCCGATCCGAATGAGCTTCTCAGCTCTTCGAGGTCTAGCCCCGGAAGCCAAGCACCTCTTCGTGACATGAACCTCCGGCCACCGTCCGCCGTAGAAAGTGGGAGCAGTTCCATGGCTTCCTGGAAGGCTAACCTCCGATGATGTTGGTCCGAAGAGGCCATTTTGCGGATAAGAACAGCACGACTCCTTTGTGAAGCACGATGGATACCAGAAAAACAGAGTGGAAGGACCAGAGTTCAGAGTTAATCGCAATGTTAACATCCCCATCTCTGTCGTTTTGCTATACCGCTTGGCAAGCTGTTAGGCTGTAGAGCCGAGGCACTTATGCACGTGATACTCCAACGTGCGACAGTCAGCAAGCACGTCTGTTAAATACGCAGCAAGTCCAATAAAAAGTGCAATCTGCACAGAACAAATCAGACATTGTCGCTCGGGCACGATTCTTTCAAGGCCGGAACTGTCAAGATGCAACCGGGATAATTCACAGCGAGATCGGCACCTGTCCGTCATCCTCGGCTTGGGCTCTAACCACCCATGCCATTGCTCACACGGTGTCCCTACTCGTTGCCCGGTCCGAAATGGACATAAATCTAAAGACCTCGCTACGATGAGGTTGGTCGAAGCAGCAGTTGAGCCTTACGGAGTACTGGGTGGACCTTAAAATGCGATATTCGTCTATCATGTATTGCAACAAGGGAATCTGCTACCTCTTATTATGCAATATTCCGTCATTGTTGGAACAAGAATGTGTTACTAATGAAGGGTCCTGGCGATGATGGAAATTACCGCGAAACTCGTAGAAAGTAGCAATTTCAGCGGACCAAGAAATGGACAAATGCAAGAAAATTCGCTCTTTTCTCTCGGAGGACGCCGAATCTCTGATACAAGTCTAGCGGCTATTGATCAGGATGTCTAAATGTGCGAGTATCATACTCGTAGAAGTGGGGCCCTCTACTCCGTCTTCACCGAGGCTAGGTCTGAAGGTAAGGTCACAGGAGCAGTAAATCAAGGCAAGTGACAACCGCCACGACCGCCTAGATGATTTGTTAGAACGTCACTGAGTGCAGGTGATTACCGGTGATTGCCCAGGTGAGTGCAGCTCCCGTTTGAGTATCTTGAGTTGATGAACGCAACAAAAGGGCAGAAGTCAAATAACGCGTACGAGAATATGTGTTTGTCAGCGAGGCGATTCTCTGAACTGGTGGCAAAAAAAGTGGACATTCCTCTTCAGGGCTGGACTGGACGAGGGGAATGGCGGAGACGAGTACAAAGTGACGCGTGAAAAGAAAGAGCTTGTCCGCACTCGTACGAGTTACATGTGGTCCGCTTCTGCTAGCCTGTCGGATGCGTTGGGCATCAGCCAATGCCCTGCGCCTTCAGCTTCTTTTCTTGTTCTTTGCTTATTCGACCTTTTGCCGGCGACTTGGCCACTTGGAAGAGAAGCCGGGTTCCCAGCACTAGAACATGGGCGCTGTACTCCGTACGGAGTACGCACACAGGCATCTGGAGTCTGAGTATGGTTGCAAGATCACGAGTGCCTCCGACTGGTGCTCGTATACAGTACGATGCACGCAAGTACACGTTTACAAAGTACTCGTTGTCGGGAAGGCTGTTCGCATTGCTACGCTAGCTCACGGATACTTCCATGTGCTCTAGCACCGTCGGCCATTGGAGCGCTAAATTGGCCAAAATGGGCACTGACGCTAATACGGAGTACCAATCGCCTTGCTCTGGTGGCGTCGAGCACCGGCTTGTTTAGCAGGCGAAGAATGCGCTGATGAACAGGTGGCGACGCTGGCGACGCTTGGCCTACAAGTAAGATACGAGTACTTCGTAGTCCTGCACGTATCATACGGAATCTCTGAACACTGACCGAGTACGTGATTTTAAAATTGTGTAAGTACGGAGTACGTGCATGTCCTTTGTTCTTGCTTAAGTAAGATACTCGTAGCCGAGATTTTACACCATGAATTGATGTATCTCGTTGTACCGTACTGCTCGTACTGCCTCGTTGTCGTGCAGTGCGCATATTCATACACTTGCAGGCGTGCAGCACGGGGAATTTCCGGGGTAGGCTTGCGGACACGTCTCATCGCCTGTGCACATCACGGACGCGAGCGCTGGACATTCTGCGTGTTGCTGAGGTATTGATTGGCAAGCAAGATACGAATGTACGGAGTACAGGGCGCAAATACGAGTGGGCACCCATACAATCGCACGGGGTACGAGTACGGGCAACTTCACGTTGCTAGAGTACTCTACGGAGTATATCTTTTACTCAGTACGGAGTACAAATATGCACTGCAACGAAGTGGGGCCACGGGGAAAGAAGGAAAAAAGAAGCAATGAAATACCTCTGTTTTCTCTCGTGTGGAGGGACGATCACTGCGATGGGATTGCCTAAATGGGGTCTGCCTCAAAGCAGGTGTTGCCAGCGAGTTTGTCCAGCTGATTCGTGCTGGACGGAAAGGTTTCCGAGACTGGATACTCGCTCTTGCCTCTTGGCGCAGCGCCCTGCCAGGTTTCTAGCTGGTGTTTCGTCACGAGGCAGGCGCGGTCGTACCTGATACGAGCGTCGGCTTCTCGCTATTACCAGTATTGGGCCCTGACCGGCTCTGGCCGCGACAAGCATCCTGGGCATCCTGGCTATGTCCATCCCCTATTCTTTCCCCTTGTTCGAATTTACGCATCCAACCCCCCGTCTTCTTCCTCTTTCGACTACGCCGTATTTTTATTTTGTCGGTTGTCTCCATACCAGGTTCTCCTCGACTTGCTCGGCTCCCTACTATGTACGATACGTTCTCGTGGAGACTGCAATTTTTACCAAAAAAAAACCCCAGTCAATCTTACCGACACATCTTACCGACACAGACCAGAAGCCCAATGGAATAACTTGGTACGGAATAATTGTACTCACTAACAAGAAGCACCTAGATTCCGTGGCCACACACGCCACCCCTCCTTTTAATAGCTTTCCCGATCTCCCATCCGTTCTCGTCCGTTCGGTCGAGAACATGTTGGTTCTCGAACATTGAGCCTCTGCCTCCTAGCCTGAGGAACATGCATGCACAGCCAGTGCTTACGCTCTACGATTTTTTCTCAGACTTACCGTCGATGATGCCTGGGGGTAGTGTTGCCTCCCCCTTCACTCTCTGGTGTCTCTGATTTTGCCGGTCTTCTGGATTCAAGACCGCCAAATTGTTCGCAAGTTGTCCAACACGCCGCACCTAGCAACTTCAAGAGAACGTCAGCCTCAGAATGACTTAACCCCACCACGGCCTTTTGCTGTGTTGGGGCGCTTTGTTTCTACGTACGGTTTGCATTTGGTCGGCAACCAGTTGGTGTAGCTCGCTTTCGCACCGCACAGAATACGTGTCATGAGCGACGCCATGGCTGCTCAGGTGGACGCTTTCAGTCGGAAACCTCTGGAACCGTTCAAGCCGTGGCTACGCCGCGACCTGCCGTCCGGAGATGAACATAGAAGCAGGGACGGCGGCATCTTCTCGACCATTCGCCAAAGGGTCGAACTATTGCCGTCGGTTCGGTTGCCGTCTCAGCCGAGTGGCCATCGCCAAAACATGCGGTCTGAGGGCTCTGAGCCTTCATCGTCGTCTCTCGCCTTGGTACCTGACGGGAATGCTGCACATGCTACACAGGTTTCGGAAGGGCCGGTTCGCCCGCAACGATCACCATCCCAGAATTTTGGCTCTGGCAATGCGCTGCCCGTCTGCCCGTCAACGCCGTCTTTGAGGCCGCGAACTGGGCCGCTCTCTGCCAACTTTCCATTTGCAACGTTGCAGTCAGAGGAGCGGCCGCGAGCAACTCTGAAGCGGCGACGCTCCGTGACAGACATCGACGGCCCAAATACAGCGGCCTTGTGCTGCAAGAAACGTCGGCTGCGGCGCTATCTGGTCACGTCGCGGCTCTCGCAGCCGTTCTCGCAACCGGCAACCCACATCCTCAACCGGGAGTCTGTTGCTTCAGGTGATAAGAGGTTTCTGAAACTAGCCGCTATCATCAATGCCCGTCGGATCGTGCAACTTCCGTTGCCTCAGCGCGCGGCCTCTTTACAATCCCCTTCCCCATCTCCATCAATCGCATCGGCATCATTCCTATCGTCACCACCCGCATTTCCCCCTCTCTTTCCATCTCCAGCCGCCGGTTCGACTTTGATACCGGTGCCACACCCGCCTAACCCGGGCGAAATGCTTCGCCGGCTGGCCATGAGCAATCGGTTTAAAAAGCGGGTGCTGGCAGAGGCGGCGGCTAGTCGCAAGCTGGCTGGTCTGCCACGACAACAGCTCACAACTAGCACATTCATGGCATCCTGGCCAGCCACGCCGGCGCCGCTGCAGGCATTGCTGACTACGTCGTCAACAGCCGCAACGTTTCATATGGCTGCTCCTCGCCCGGCCCCATCCTTGCTTGGCACAAACCCGCCATTACTCACTACCGCAGTACGTGCACGGCTGGTAGAAGCCGCAACTACGGACAGTCCTCAGGCCGCGCCACTTGCCAGCAGGCTGGCTCTGAGTCCTTCGAGCAGCCGGCCTGCAATGATTTCCCCAGAGACTTTGGTCCAGCTTAGCGTAGACAAGACAGAGAAGCTGCAGAAACCTGCGACCCAAGTGGCTAAAAGCCATAATACCGTGGTCGATGATGCCGACGATGCCGGCGACGACGTCGAAGACGAAGCCGAAGACGAAGACAGCGATGGGTACTGTGCCTTTCCGGGGGACCAGAACGAGAGTCGGTACGAAGCAAGTGACGACCCAGACCCGGACGACGTGTACTCAGACTTCAGCGTTCTATTTCAAGGACCGGGAGAGGACTCGGACTTTGGCGAAGAAGGCTTCGACGACTATATGGATGAACTGGACGGCATTGCGCACCTCCCACGATGAGGATGCATGGTGCATTCGTATTCACAGCTCTCCACCTCGCAGGACAGAGTTTAAAGCCTAAATCAGAAATAGCACGACACAAAGACAAGAAGAAAAGAAACGATACAGAAAGAGACTAAGGACCACAAACAAGTGCACGTAGCCTGGGCATACCATCTCGTTCCCGAGCAGCAGGCCGTCTCAATGTTTCCTCGCTACCCTTCCGGCGGACGATGCCGATGCCAGCAGATCTGCCTGGAGAACTCTCTGGGAAGCATCACAGCCTCGTGAACCTGCGCTGTGGATCCTAAAGCGCTGCCGCACTTTCGCGCTAAGACCGCGATCCCGTGATTTATTTTTCTTCAAACCCTGCCACGAAATCCCGCTATTTCTGTTCCTGCTGCGGTCTGTCAAAGACGCCTTCCGCCTGACCAAGCCGACCATGGGCATATCCGTCCGCAAGTCCATCGGCTGGCCTCCAGAGCCGCACAGTGAGCCTACATCTACCATTGTCTTAACGTCACCAAAGTGCTGGTTTGTCGATGTCCGCGTCCTCTCGCCTGCCGCGACCGACAGCGGCCATGTCGTGGATATCGACTGGGCCTTTGCTGGCATGTCCTCCTCGACAGGTGTGCGGTCAGTCTGGCGCCACTGGGTGGATAGCCGCACTGAAAATGCCGCGTCCGTCACGGATGAAGGCGACTGCGAGGAGCTGCCTGACGGAAACTACCTCGAGAAGGGTGAGATGGTCAACCCGGCCACCGGAAAGATGGCACCTTACGAGGAAGTGTGGATCGACGTCCAGCCAGTGGCCACATCCCCTTCTGAGGTCGGGGCGATGCGCTGTGTGGTGGTGCAGCTGCACGACGATGCTGCTGGAACGCGAGGCGTCGTTGAGCGACTGGGGCAATTCTGCCAAGGGATCGTGCGCACTGCCGCAAAAGGCATTACGGTAGAACGCTGGCAATGGACGGCCGACAAAGGCTGGCAGCGCACCTTTCGTCTCGGGACCGGCTCGATTCCGTGTCAACAGCTCGTGCACGAAACAAGGCTGCTGGAAGAGGGCGACATCTTGCATGACAATGGCCATCTCTGGACCGTCATCGAGACGGCAGCCGTGCGTGGAGGAGGCCACTGAAGTGTGGGCAGGAATGCAGCGAAGCCGTGTATACTTCAACTACAGAGGAGCAGCAACGAAGAAACTAAATGACAGCAAAACAGCACAACAGCATACCAGCACACCCAAAACAAGCATGTATGCCAACATGAAAAAGACAGATTCAAGTCCATCACACGTCACATAGCTGTGCCTAATTGTCACTGTCGCTGGAGCTGGACCCGAACAGGTGCTCGAGCGTGCCCAGTCCCTCCCAGCCGATAAAAGCGGCGCCGCTGTGCAGGACGTTCCACAGCTCGGCCGGCGAGGCCCCGGCGTCTACGTTGTCCACGCCAAAGTCGCCCACGGCCGTGACGCCGGCCACGAATGTCAGTGCCAGCGTGACCCACGCGCAGGCCTCGTCGGCCGCCGTGCTTCCGGGCGGCTGGCGAAACTCAACGGTGCCGAGGCCGGTGCCACAGCCAGCAGACTTGGGCAACATGCCGGAGAAGTCCCATTTAAATGCTTTTCCGCGCACGAAGTCATGCTTCTTGCCATGTGCCCGTCCATACGCCGAGCCAGCAGGGAACAGATTGATGGCCTCGACCACGGCGCGTGTTGCAGACACCTCGCCGGCCACAGCGGCAGAGTCGACCGCCGCGTCGATGATGGAAAAACAGCTGTCGAGGCCCTGCTGGTCCCGGAAGGCCTGACTGACGCGGTTGGACTGGCACCAGTACGTCGACGAGGAGCGCCGCACGGTAGGCGCAAGCCCGTCTAGGGCTGGTTCAAAGTACAGCACGGCCTTGGCCAGCAGACCGAGCTCGACCGTCGACAGCGGTGCCGGAGTGGCCGACACATGCACGTGCGTGCTGCAGTGCGGCGACGCAACCACCATGAAGGCGCCATGGACCGCAGCAAACACGGCGTCAATGTCGCCAGCCCAGTACCAGGCTGCTGGGTAGACGGGCGAGACGAGCTCAATGCCCCCTGTCTGTCGTGTCAGCAAGCGAACGAAAACAGAGCTGGAGCGAGATACATACAGAGATTGTTTGCCGGCTGGCTGGGAATGGTGACCTCCTGCACGATGGACCACTCGCTGTAGTTCTCGGCCGAACGGGAGCCGCCCTCGTTGATGTGGTTGTTGATACCGGCCTTGAGCAGACGCTTGCTGACGTCCTTGGCCAGCGCGCTCCATGAGCCGTACGCCTTTTTGCGGCTGCCCAGGAGGAGCTCAATCTCGACGCCGAATTGAAGCGAGGCCGCCTGGCTGCCCATTGTCGTGATGTGTGGAAGCTGGGAAAAGAATATGCAGAGGAAGACAGAGGAAGGGAAGAGTGACCTAGATAGACAACGGCAAGATAGAACAGACTACCGGAGATCACAGCCTTCGAACTGGAAAAACGAAAACCACACAGCTCTCCATTCTCCTCATGTCGAGCTATATATGCACACCTCGTTGCTAGTCTAGCCGCCTCGAGAGCATCACTTGGTCCGTCGTTTCGTGTGAAGCGCCAGAGAGACCTCCATCAGCTGTGATGGCCACATCTCCCAGCCAGCAAGCCTGCAGTCGAAGACCCGAGGCATGGCTCTTGTCCAATCGACCTCATCCGGGAACAGACGGCCGGGGGTGACGGTGTCTGGGATGTGCTTCGTGTGCATGGCCATGCCAGTGAGAGAAGCCGTGGCGGCGTATCGCGACGCAAGCAGGCCAGCACGCCACCCCCTCGTTTGATTTCGGCCTTCCTCCACCACCGTGTGTCTCAAGAGCCTCGTACCAAGGGCGTCACGCTCTGGGAGAGCGAGAGCCTGGCTGGCCTCCTCGGTCAAGGCGTGGAGCCGGTCGGCTTGGTGGTTGGCTACAAGGAGTCGATCCCACAAGGAAACAAGGGGAGGCTTGATAGCAAGTGCAATATCAGAACGCCAGTATTGGCCCTAGCCCGGGGTCAGCACGAACCCACGATGTGGGAAAAAGGATAGTCAAAGCTCCGCTTGTCTACTCCCCCCCTCCCCCCCTTGCACTTGCACTGCCCCTAAGCCCTCCCCTCCCTCCTTCCCTCGTCCGACAACGGCGCCAGGTGTGTGCTTGGGGCGGCTTCTCGGGGGGGAAGCAGTCGTCGCATCTGCGTCAAAGCCCTGGTTAGCATACTTTTCGGAGGACGTGCATGGTATGTGTGTGGGTATGGGTAAGAGAGAGAAAGACAGATTATGTGTGAGTGAGGCGCGCGCGCATGCACACAGACATGTGGGAGCGTTGCTAGTGCTGCTCAGGCATTACTTAAGACACAGATGCACCCAGCTGCTGGTGAGAGATAGTGTCCAATCTGTCGGCCAATTCTTATTTTCCTGCTAGCCGTTGCTAGGCTCTGTCCAAGGCAAGGCCACAATAGCCTTGAAATACCAAGCATCGTCGAAAGCTCGCATCACCGGAAGATGTACAGGCCAATTGAAAGGGCGGGTGGACCTTCATAGCTATACACAGGGAAGAGTGGAGCAGTTACACAAAGGAATTAGACCGGCAGAGCCTCATGACGTGCCTGAAATGCCGGATGCAGCTGTGCATCATAGCTGCAGCTAATGGCACTCAACCGGCTCCATGCAGCGAGCCGTGCTTTTTCGAAATCTCTGACTGAGTGCAGATGCAGCAATTGACAGTGTCTGCCCTGTCTGTGACGCCTTGCATCTCCATAAGGCCAAACAACAGAATCAGGCCCCTGCATTGAACAGCTTGGGGGCCAAAATCCAGATGGGATGGCTAGCTTATGGGTCGGTGTGTCGGCAGTGGGCAGAATGCGACGTCTAAGCGCCGGCCAGGAACGAGCAAGTCTAGTCAGCCCTCCGGAAGCGGTTGGACAAAGAAACACGGGGATGCGTGCCGTACGAAAAACGAACAGTTTGCGCACTGCTTCTGCAGATGCACGGCAGGGCAGGCATCCGTTGATGATGGACAGAGCCCCTGTCAGCAACTTTCCCCTGAATGGGGGTGGGGAGTGCCCTGTGCCATTTGACGAGCCAGCCTAAGAAAGGCAGCCAGTAGTGCGTTTCCGCCTTCACCGCACACCTTGCCGCGTACCTGGCTGTCGATCTTCAACGTAGATGCGCACCAGACAACTCATTCCCACGTAGCCTTCTGGCAAGGAGGCAATAATCCGTCAGCCATTGCAAGCTCGGGCTGTAGCCGCCGGTACCATTAACTGCAGATGTATAGTAGATTTCGGACGTTGCCTTTCCGACAACAAGCTGTAGCGCTTTTCGTATGGAGGAGTTGCGGTTTTTGACAGTTACTGGCAGCGCTAGAGAAGACGGAAAATGGCAAACAGCCAGAAGACTGGGGAAATGGGCAAGGCTGGCCTTCCTGGCTGCAGCTTGCTGACAGATTCCAGACCTAGCTGCGCACGTAGTACGTAGTGCCCCCTGCAGCTTGGTTACAAATCAGGCCCGGCACTTGCGACCAATGAGGTGGTCGCAGACTGACGCCATCACCACGCTTGCGCCTTCGCTCCTTCTCTGCGAAAAAAAAAAGACAAAGCAGGGAAGTGGGAGAGCAATGCTCGTCGACCTGGTAAGAGTCATCCGTGAATAGGACGTCGACGGTAGCAAGCAGACGACAAGCTCAGGTTCGCCTCCTCGGAACAAGGCTGGATGGAATCTTCGTCTGTTTTGGCGAGCTAGCACCATCCTCGTAGCAAGATTCCAAATCCCAATTCAAATCCCGTATCCCGTCCGTAGCTTGGTGGGGCGGCTATTTAACCCCGACGAGCCCAACTTTTGTCGGCACACATTGCCTCACAACTTTTCCAGCTCAGTATACATTGAATCATCACTCCGCTAGAACAGTTCGTCTGTCATCGTCTTTCCGCCTGCAGATATACAATTGCTAACTACCTCCAGAAGACAGCCCGCAGCATTTAGCACTTACCTAATCACAACTCGCCTCTCTTCTCCACACCCTACCACCGAAAATGGCTGTCACGCACATCGAGTCGCAGGCACAGTTCAAGGACCTGCTCAAGTCCACCAAATACGTCATTGCTGATTTCACTGCCACGTGGTGCGGTCCCTGCAAGGCCATCTCCCCCTTCTACGAGAAGCTCGCAACTCAGCACGCCAAGAAGGGCAAGCTGGCCTTCACCAAGATCGACGTCGACGACCTCGCCGAAATTGCTGAGGAATATAGCGTGACCTCAATGCCCACCTTCCTTTTCTTCGCCGACGGCGAATTGTCCAGCGACTTTAGCAAAGTCCTCGGCACGAACCCAAAGATCCTGACCGAGAGAGTTGAGGCGCTGGCTAAGGCGGCCAACGAATAGGGGCGTTGAGATGGAGAGAAACGAAACGGACCAACAAAGCCAGACCTTTTTATTCTAAACTTGTTTGGAGACCGCTTGCATAAGCGCTGCTACCATGCTGCGCATGAAATGCTTGGGACGCATGTCTTGCTGGCTATGATCTGTTCCGGATGATATAGATGATTGAACAAAACTGATAACTATTCTCTCGCTAAATACGTGACGCAAGTGTTTCTTCAATGCTGAAAATGCAGGCAAAACTTAAATACCCGGTCGTCGTGTGAAAGCGGCCGTCATACAACATCAGTGTCTCCAAAATGGGGAGCCACTTGGAGGAAACATCTCTGGAAGCCGCCACCGGTCTCTAAACTCCCCGCCAAGCCCATCCTATGAACAAAAACGTCAATGATTACAGCACCAAAAGTGGTGTTTGTTTCTCGGAGCCTGCTGCTTCGGAACGGCACCTTCTGCTTCGTACTCCTATACAAGCTCGTTGTGCTCTGCAAAGAAGTTCGCTGCATCCCTATCCGGACACAATTCTCGCAGCACCAGCATCAGCATCCTCCCGGCTGTCTTCGCCATCGTCAGCTGCCTTACCGCATCGGCTACAGTGCAGCAGTTGTCGACCGCCGATACGCCGCGCCTTGAACTCTCGCCCTCCGCATTTGGCACACCGCATCTCAGTACCTTCGGCGGAATCGCTCTGGTCGTCTGCGTCGCTGTCGGAACTTGTCAGTTCTGAGCTCAGCTTGCTGACGATAGAGTTGTCCCGAGTGTATGGACCGCGCTCATGTTTCGGGAGGTGCAAGAAACTATTGCTCTGGTCTGAGTTCGTCTCTGTAGCACTGGCTCGTGTCGTCGCTGGTGTCAGGTGCTCCTGCCCGCTGCCCGAGGCTGCCGATCGCCGCCGTAATTGTTTCTCCGACAATGGTGTTAGGCCCTCAGCTCGGTTCGTCCTTGTTTCTCTCGTCGTCTCTGCATGCGTAGACGAGTCGCCATCTGTTGGCGTAAATGACTTGGCAAGTGGCGACTTCGGCATAACCGTCGTGTTGCCAAACCCATCGCCTGACTTGTCACCACCACTGTGATGGTGGTGGTGGCCTCCAGAGTCTCCTCCAGAGCCAGTGTTCCCGGTAATCGACGCACGTAGGTTTGCAATGCCCTTCCACTTGTTCAAGTTCCAGAAGCTGTAACTGGCTCCTGCCGGGTCCAGTCGCAAGGGGTCATCGTTGTCCGAAGGCCTGAACGAGAAGCTAGGCGCTGGTGGGCCGAAACTGCGGTTGTCTGCTTCGGGCTGGGCACCCCCTTTGTCATCTCTATTTTCTTTCTGTTCCAACCATCCAGAGCGCGAGGCTGGCGGTAGTGAATTTGGGTCTTTGGGCTGCATTTTGGTCTCAGTTACAGTTGCGCCTTCGGATAATGTTGATGTGCTCGCGAACGGTTTTTGATCCGCCAGCTTTAGACTTGCCAGAGACCTGGTTGATGGGCTCGTAGAGTTCTCCTTTGTCACCAGGGCCGTCGATTGTGCAGTCCGTGGCAAGCTAGTGCCTGCATACGGCTGTTTTCGTGCCTCACTTGCCAAGCCACCAGGGGCACCCATCGGCGTGTGGGTAACTTTGGTCGGCGAGATAGATCGCTCACTTCGAGTAGGCGTCGCTGTCAGGGGTGTTGTGCGGCTGTCATTACTCTCGATATCCTGGCGCCAGCTGATGATGCGGTCTGAGTTTCCTGACTGGTTTGTGCAGCCGGCAGCTCCTGGGGGGGAGATTACGTTCACCGACAGCTGTGGTTGCGTGAGCGATCCCCGTCTGGAGCGTGCTACGCTGCTCATGCTATTTCGCGTGATAATGCTGCCATTGCGTCCCACGAGTCCGGAAGCAGTCAGCTTGCGGCTGAAGCTCGACCCTGTCTCCCAGCTTTCATGCTTCCTTTTATTGGCTGCGCAGTCCTGGCGGAAGACTTTGATGATGCCCGTTTCATCACTGGTCACGATGATATTTCCGTCGTAGTGCGTGGACCTTGCGATGTACCCAGGCGTCTCCTCTGGTCGCGGTTTGGGGACTGCCACAGATCGGGTTGCATCGTCCTGATGAAGGGTGTGATCCGAAAAGCCGGACTGTGACGCGATTGATTCCTCCACGGACATTAAGGTAATAGATGGTGGGTTGCAGAGATCATAGATAGGGTCACCGGAGCTCCCAAGCAGCTGTCTTGTTTTCGTCGGCGCAAAGATAGCAGTGGTAACCATATCGCTATGGGCATCGAAAAATTCGCAGGGTCGTCTGTCTTTAGAGAGCGAGTCTGCCATACTCACGCTCCACACAAAAGCTTTGCTGTCTTCGCTGCCACAGATAACATACTTGCCGTCGTCGCTGAAGCTGGCGCAAAGCTGAGTAGTGGCATGCTCGTGGCCCTTAAACTTGCCGTCAAGCGTCTTATCGCGCAGGTTGTATACGCGTACACGCGAGTCGGTGGAAGTGATGAGAATCTTAGCGTCGGTGTCCCTTGAGCCTGGCGGCACAATGGATACGATGCCTGTTATCTTGCTGCCCTTGGCGTTGCGACCTCTAGATGAGCGCACATGCATCTGCGACTGCGACCTCAATCCCTCCGTGTCGAAGAAATGGCAGTATCCGTTTAGTAGGCCTGCCATAGAGACCTTTCCGTCGGGTGAAAAAGCCACGGCTGTGATCATGTCTGGAAGTCGGGTTGAAAAAGCAATGCTTTTGTCAGGAATGCTCCAGAGGCGCAAGACGGCGTCAAGACAGCCGGCGAGAAAGAAACGGTCATCCTTCGGGTGAAAAGCCACCTTGCTAACGAGTTCCTTGTGCTTGAAGGTACACAGACACTCGTGGCGGCTGATATGCCATAGCCGCACTGTTTTGTCCATGGCTGTGGAAAGGAGAAAATTGTTCTTGCTCCAACTCAGGTCCAAGATGTCGCCAGTATGGCCTTCGAACTCCCGAATTGGCTTTTCCAGAAACACTGGAGCGCTGAGCCGCTCGCCCAAACTGCCACTCTCAATCTCAGCATCTTCTTCGGTGCGCCGGTCTTCTGCTGTAGCGATGACAGCCCAGACACGGACGACGTGGCCGCGGCCGCCGGCCGCCATATATTTCCCGTCCTTGCTGAATTCGGTGGTCCAGACAGCACCTCCAGTAGTAGCCCTCCGGCGCGCCTGACTCGACGTGGATATAGTGACCTGGGGCATTTTCGTGCCAGCCGGCTGCTCGAGTGGTCGCGTTCCGATCAATTCCTGGGCAAGAAACATGCGGTCAAACTCTCGTGTCTTCTTATCGTGGGCTTTGACCCGGATGTAGCGCGGTGGTTCCTTGTGATGCGGAATGAAGCCACCGCCCGCGCCAGCCATGAAGGAGAAGACCTGTGCATTGGACCCTTCCGTGCGTGGTTCACCACTCTCTGAGGTGTTATCACTAAACTCATCTTTCTTCTTTCCTCTCATACTCAGACGACCGAGAAAGCCTTTGCTACAGCACCATACGTATCAGCGTCGTAATCACATGGGCGGCGAGGGGGATGAGAGGCTGGAGGCTCTGTAATCGTACCGCTTCTCTCTCCCCGCATCGGCAGCTAGTGATGGGTGCCTAGCAAAACTATCCGAGTCTGGTGGCAGCAATCCATCTGGGACCGGGCTTTCTGGTCTTGATGAGTGGCCTCGCAACCTGGAAGCTTTCGATAGTTCAGCCGTTCTCATATAAATATGCTAGTCCAAAAATCGGCGAGTCAGCCCTAGAGCCCTTCTTCTGGAACAGGACGTCTCCATATCCATACCTGCGACAATGGATCAATGGATGTGTTGCCAGGGCTGCTCGACAACGGGGCGGACGGGGCAGTAGGCGGCAAAGACCGGGTGCAGTCGGCATCCTTGGTTGTAGCAGTACTTCCTCTTGAGACCCGGGAATTTATGCGTGATGTCAACGGTGGGGTGCTAGATCTCGCCGTGGCCTTGAGAGACTCAGTACGAGTACTGGGACTGCGCGTCCAGTTCCCCGGGTTTGCAGCTTCAGGATCGTCAGTGATTCTGATTTGTTCCCACTCTATGTAGGCAGATAAGAAGAAAAAGGGCAAAAAGCAGTACTCCGTATGGGGAACACGTTCCAACCACCCCACTTGGACAGACGCCAAGCCAGGAAGGCTATACTCGCGCGTGCACACTTGCGCCTGAAAGCTTTTAGAGATATAATTCGGTATAAAGAAGCTGGAAGCGAAGAGGAATGTGGCTGTGAAGTGGCGGCATATAGAGAAGAGCAGACGAGAGTGTAGTTCAGTGTTAAGCACTGCGAAGGCACAGGGCAGGCGAAGCAACAAGAACGCAGTGATTGTGGAGAGCATACCGTCAATGTCAGAGGCAGATGGATCATCAATGAGACTCGAGCGAAGCGTCGGAGTCGCAGGAATTGCCGACGAGGATGGGGAGCTTGGTTCGTTGTGGAAGCTGGCTGGCTCGGCCTTGTCCCTAGCTGGACGGCCCGGTATGGACTTCTTCAGGACCCCGAGACCGGCCTCCATATTCCATTATGTGCAAGAGGCGAATAATGCTGCTACTGTATGCGATTCACATGTGGTGCTGTTTGTGCCCGCCTGGTGGCCAGACGACACGGTTCTTCCACCAGTCTGAATTTCTTCGCTAAATTTGCTTCCCCAGTCTGATTCGCTGACGTGCTGTCCCGGTGGACGGAAAGAGGAGAGGGTAAAATGGTGAGGGGCCGTTGACTGAGCTTGCAGCCTCACGCGTCAGTCGTCGGACGGAGCAGGCAGGCGTGATATGGGACAGGATCGTACGACGGACAATAGAGAGTGCCGGAGGCCGTGGCTTTCGCGCGGGACGCTTTCACAGCAAAATGGGAGGTTGAAGAAATAGAAGAGGCTTGGCGCGCGAGGGATTGCGCGCAAAGGAAAATGATGCGGAAACATAGCGATGCAGAATGGAGCATCCGAAGTTGCCGTCATTTGTCCGTTCCTTCCCTGTTCTAACCGGCCATTCGCTGGGCCCGAACCCCGTCACTATTTTGTGCTAGTGCTAGTGCAGAGGTAGAGCCTTGGCATGTGGGCTCGCGCTCGGGCTCACGCTCGGGCCTCGCAAAGGTCATCCGTATTAGTGCTTATCTGCAGCATGCTGTTCCAGCCCGCATGAGGATGATCATAGGGCTGGTGTCGCCCCCTTGCGCCAGTTTGTGACGAGATGATGTGGCAGTCTTCTCGGTGAAAGACGGCCTGAGGCTGCAGAGACAATTGCAAGATACGTATGTAAAAAGGCCCCTACTATCATATGCTCACCAAAACCAACGCGGTAAATATCACAAATCTCCCTGTTTACACATGCTAGTAAAAGGCCGCCTGGCCCAATCCCATAAACGCCTCGCAACGCTTAGGCTAAGCCTTGCTTCGTTTCGTACTGAAAAGTGTTTCATATCAAAAGATCGGCAACCGCGTTGTCCGTGGCAAAGGTCTGGTTACCATTGCTCTCGCCTACGTGGCTGCCGACCTCGTTCTCGCCCTCGTCCTCGTCGGCGTCCACAATGGGATACGTGGTAATGACGGCGATGCCGCCTAGGCTTTGCAGCCGCTGGCCACTCTCGTGATCGCTGCTCAGTATTTTGGCCTCGCCGCCGTCAGCCTTTACCTTGTCCACAATTGCCACATAGCGCCGTCGTGTGGCCACGTCCAGGCTGCGAAAGAGCGAGTTGATGATGAGGAGCATGCCGCCGCCAGCACCTACGGCGCCCTCCTGCACGGCTTTCTCGACCGGGCGGACGCCATATGTGACACGACCGTCGTCATTTCGCAGCCGTTCGAGCAACTGGTCCACGGCCTGATTCTCGGAGCGGAACTTGGTGTCCCGCAGCAGAGCAGCCACCTCCGGGCTCTTGAGCACCTCGTTGAGCGCATGCACTTTGCCGGAGCTCGAGTGCACCACGACAGCCTGTTTGGCTATTTGCTTCAACACCTTGTCGCCGCGTGCCTGCGCCTCGCCGAGCATGTACTTGCGGAAATTTTGGGCCGAGAAGCCTGGACTGGCCAGCAGCAGCAGGCGCTCGGATGAAAAGTCAATGGAGCGCAGTAGGGTGTCGAGCATCTTTCCGTAGAAGCGCAGCACACCGGCATCAACCTCGCTGGTCTCTGTCAGCTTCTTGGGCAGCGAGCCGACGACATGCTGTTTGACCAGCGTCTGGTAGTCGGTAATGAGGCAGATGTCGGCCTGGCCCTCGCCCATGACCACTGCCGCCAGTGCTCCCTCGCGGTCCTGACGCACAGCCTCACGCAGCTCCTCTGTCGAAACTGTGTCCCAGCCGTGGCTTTTCCACAGCACAAAGGGGTGGTGAAGCTCGAGATCGAGCGTGTGGCGCTGGCCCTTGGAAACGTAGGGGTTGTCGGCTACCACCGAGCCTGTCACACGCAGCGACGAAACAACCGGGTCGAAAAATGTCGTCTCCACGCGAATGATCAACTCCGTGTGCACGCGTCTCTTCGTGGTTGATCCCGTATCTGTCACATCGACCAGGTTGCGAACGGCGTGTGCTTTGATAACATCTCGTGGCTGGATCAGGTTGTTGGCGTGCCACATATCTTCTGGTTCATCTGGAAGAAGGGCAATGAAATCCTCGCCGATAGCCTTCATCTCCGCCGTTGACTTTGTCTTGACAATTTGCATCTTTGGCTGCTGTATGGCAATCACGGGTAACTGCTTCTCCGCCTAAAGTCTTGGCCGACTCAAAGTGGGATGTGAGTTTTGACTGCGACTTTTCAAGCCCCGCAATGCACCAGCCAATGGGATTACAGGAGTTAGTCGGCTGCATTGTGCGAGAACTCGCCTCGTGGAAAGGTCAGTACGCTTAGATATCCTTATGACGGAGACGGGGTACAACCGGAAACATCTGTTCTACAGTGGCATAAGTATACTACCACAGTTCAGATGCGTACAGAGACCTATTCTGGGCGGTTTTGTATGACTTATAAAGATGCTCAATATTTTCTTTGCTAATTAAGCTAACGCGCTCTACAACAGCTAGGCAGAGTGAGCATTGATAGGCCGTTTCGCCTTTTTTTGCTAGATGCCTCGAGAACTGAACGATTGTCGTCAACGTGAAATTGAACCACGCAGCTGTTGCTGTTGTTCTTGTCAAACTTCAAGACGATAGTGGCGAAGCGGTATCTCTGAACCCTTGCTCTTAGTATGTGCTACGTACCGACGGATTCTTCGCTCTTCGGCGAGACTATCTTACCGGGCCACACAAACGACCCAGTGAACATCTAGCCGAGCGTCATCTTGAACATTCGCAAATACCCGCAGCATACTAAGGCCAAGCGCATTGCTTTAGGCTTAGCTGTTCCCGTGTGGCGGGGATTGTATGACGCCTTATTTACAGATATGAAGCAGCACAATTGATAACCCATTCTTAGAATGATTAGAAGAATATGGAAAACCATGGTCGATTGATTAGTGGGGGTAATGGTTGATTTTCAACGGCAATAAAGACTCCCCTCTTCCGCATGTTTCCCGCCGGGCTTCTCACTAAGAATTAAAGTACATTGCGCAGTATATACAAACAAAATGACATCTCTTACCCTCCAGTCTTCTTTCAAGCTCAACAGCGGCTTTGAGATCCCCCGCCTGGGCTACGGTGTAGGCGACTTCCTGGGTCTTGCGCAGTGCTTTAATAGACAGCTGACATTTCGCAGTTGTGGCAGACGTGAGGGCCTCTCCTATGGGTGTCCACGCTGAAATACACCATTCGTTAACCACCGGTCACAGGCCCAAGGACGTCGCTGAGGATGTGAGCAGCAAGTCGTTCGAGTACGGCTACCGCCATGTACGTATATTGGGCCCCGTTCTATACCTAACCCCTCTGCTTCTCTGACTAGAGCAACCGCCCCATCTAGATCGACTCTGCTTCTGTATACGGAAACGAGGCGGGCTGCGGCGTCGCCATTCGCAACTCCAAATTGTCGCGATCCGATATTTTCTTCACCTCCAAGGTGCCCCGCAGCGGCATGAGCTATACTGCGGCCAAAGCCCAGGTAGAAACGACGCTAAAGGAGACCGGCCTCGACTACATCGACCTGATGCTTCTGCACGCCCCATACGGCGGCTCCGCCAACCGTAAGGGCGCCTGGAAGGCCCTAGTAGAGGCCGTAGAAGAGGGTAAGGTGCGGTCCATCGGCGTGTCCAACTACGGCGTGCACCACCTAGACGAGCTTGAGAAGCACATTGCCGAGCTCGAGGCTGAGCGCGGTGGCAAGGGCAAGGGCGGCTTGTTGAGCGTGGGCCAGTGGGAGATCCACCCATGGCTAGTCCGCAAGGATATTGTGGAATGGAGCAAGAAGCGCAACGTGGCTGTGGAGGCATATTCTCCGCTGGTGCGAGGCGAGCGCTGGGGTGAGCCGGTGCTGAAGAAGCTGGCGGAGAAGTACGGCGTATCAGAGGCGCAGATCCTGGTGCGCTGGAGCCTGCAGAAGGGCCAGATCCCACTACCTAAGAGCGTGACCGAGTCGCGCATCCGTGACAACGCTGACGTCTATGGCTTCTCTCTGACCGACGCTGAGGTAGACGAACTGGCGACGGACGAGTACAAGCCGGTGTGCTGGGACCCGACGGTGGCGCCCCTGGAAGAGTAAACGCTGCTCTTTGCTCTTTGCGGCTTCGACAGACGGATGCCCATGTAGTTCGGTTCACATACGTTGATTTATCTCACAGAAACACATACTGCAATCCGTATCCCTTAAGTGTCTGTGTTCCTTCTTCATTGTGCCGTCTTTGGTCCGCCTTGCTGCTGCCTGGGCTCTGGCAAACAGCCGTACGCCTCTTCCATGCGCGTAAGCTCTCTGCCTACGTCCAGGACGATCAGATTCAGCAGTTCGAGCTCCTGCTTTGTATTCTTGATGTGCTGCAGCAGGTTGCTAAATCGCACCTGCACAATGAGCTTGTTTTCAAGCTGGTTGATGCTGTGGTACGAATGCGTGTGCGGAGGCGGAGGTGGCGGCTGGCCTGAAATGACAGCTGGGCCGAAAGCGTTGGCTTGCGGCGGCATGGATGCGGGTATACTGAATGTCGACATGGACGGCTGAGGAGGGGGCATTGTCATGGCCTGTTCTCACGGAGTTGTTGATGCTTCTTGGCGGTCTAATGCCTGGTTAGCAGATGTGGCGCTACTTGGTGTGGGGGCTGTACTTGCTAGAAGGTAAGATAAGTGCACTGAAAGATAGGCTGGAAAGAAGGTCGAAGGTGAGAAAGGAGCTGTTCCCAACGACCAGATCAACAAAAAAGCAAACGAGTTGTATTAAAATTAAACGGAAATTAAATGCAAAAACGCTGGCTAGCAGACGCGCAATTTGCCTTCGCGGCGGTTGGCCCTTCGTGTCGTACCGCCCACTGGCTGACGCAACAAACAGCCCAGAACATCTGCTATAATAAAAAAGCTACAAGGAACGGAAAGAAGAGTAATTGTGCTTATTTTTAGGCCACAATCAATACCATTTCTAAGGGCTTGAAAGCAGCTATATACACTTTGTAGCAGTACTAGATTATGTTTTACAGTTTATTGCAGGCAGCTGCACATAGCTGTAGTCATCAACGGCCTACTCCTTATAGCTTCCAAAAACACTCCTGCTGCCGATTGTCGCATCTTTTCCCCGCTCATAGCAATCTATAAACATATGTAGACTGCCGTATAGACATCTGCGCGACTAGGACCTGCTGTGAATCGCCTTTGACAAGCTAGCATCATCTCCCAGTCATTTCGGTTTGGATTGGAAGAAGCTATAGATTCGTGTCACAGCCACGGCTTTAGCCATTGAAGACACTGGTTCTTGCTTACTTGGTCGTCAGAAACGATGCGTTTATTGCTCTTAGACTCCGGATTTTTACTCCTTTTGCAGTTGGTATCCAGCTTAGCTTGTAGCTTTGTATTCCTTGACTTGCCTGTCACTGGCCTCTGTTAATCTGTTCTGGCTTCCTTCGAGTCTGCACATTTCTCCGCAGACCAACACGTTTTTCTAGAAATGCTAGACTACTATTCGCTGAGGTGGTGGGCATAAACTCCAGTGGACAGATGCTTGACTCGCGGAGTGTAAAAATGTTCTAGAGGGGGGAAAATAAATCACGACGACAATCTCAAGGCACTGCTGAAAAATACATCAACATGTTCGACGAGCTCCAAAATAAAAAGGCTACATAAATAGCAATACCAGTTTGTCCCCAAGAACCATGTTGCGTTTACTTTATCTTGTTACACCTTTCTAATGCATACTGACCGTCTCCAGACATCGGCTAGACAGTACGGAGTACAGAAACTGGTATGAGCCACAGCCCTGAAATATATACAAGAGAATATATCTCTTGCAAAATTCATCAGCCCAGAAGTCGGCTGAATTTTCGGCCTTCTGAAGTTATTTAAGGATCCAGGAAACCAGATATGGATGCCAGCCATATTCGCAACAAAAAAATCGAGCAGAGCCGTGCTATATCGGCCAATGCAGCACTTCGACTAGTGCTGACAGAGCAAGATACGCAGATTCGCAGCCTCGAAAACACTTGAAACACGGAAATATGTCCAAGCGAGCATACGCGAGTACTCCAATAGACCGTCGACGTGCTGGTAAAGATTGGACGCACGAATATCAGGTGTTTAATGAGAAGCTCGCGCTGCTAGTAATCAGAGGCCGTGCCGAGAAACGTCCGGAGGCTTGTAGGCGCAGACACCCCCTTTTTTCTAGACGGTTCCAAAGCGAGCATCGAATCAACACATAGAGGAAAGCCGAAATGACCGGCCTGCACAAAACAAGTCTCCCTTAGCCCTATATATATTACAACATCTCCCGTCAAAGGCCAGATGGCGATGTGCTCACGTTGCGACCTCTCCACCCTGGACAAGGCTACTCTCCTACGAACCGGGGCTGGCACTACACAACACGATAGTGAAAAGCACATATTTCCGGCCGCTTTGACCCACATACAGCTCTATGTAGTGGCCGTGACGGTACAGGTGATAAGGCTGGAGCTTTCGAGCTGCCACAGAGCATGCATCAATCCCGATATATGGGGTAAGCACCAGCTCCGCTGACGGTGACGGCGACGAAGATGGCAAGGCTGCCGGTAATTTTATATATCTAAATCCCTACAGCGAAGGGGAACAGAGCGAGCGGGAGCAACGACTAAGCTGAGACATCAGAATCGCGGAATACAGACGGTAACCAATGTAATACTACGGTACATGGCGGCGACGACGACGACACCCTCCCGATCACAAAGGAACATAGTTCGCTATGCCACACAGTGCCTGCACTGGTCACGGCACCGGCCGATCGTATGAGTGACTAGACAGACGCCCATCCTTGTGGCTGCATTGGGCCGTGACCTACAAGCTGGCCCGCACAGTCTGCACGCCGGCATCGAGGCTGCAACTCTGCGCAACCGCATGAGTGGTACTCTGAAAGGTGCAGCTCCAACACGGGCCTGGCCCTAAATTCAGGCTAAAGCTGACAATGAGATGTTGACGGCCGATGCCTGGGTCACCCCTATTATATTTAGAGGCATGCTTACCGGTTAAGCCTGATCACACTACTTCCGTTGCTCTGCCGTATCATCCTTGTGCAGCCTCCGCCATCCTGATTAACTGGTCAAATCACCACCGTGCCTTCATTGGCGAAATCGAGAGAATTGTCTGCCCCAAGCGGCTGCACTATGTTGATGGTATTTGGGGGCGACTATCAAGCCATCTTCATGCGCCTTCTCGGCGGCGGAGTACAGACGACGCTGACAGGGAGCTGGCAAATGCATGAGCACAGCAGGGCAGAGAAACGATGAGGTGGCCTAACATGCCGCAGAAAGCCAAAGGTGGGCCGTGAGAGATAAGAGAGAGCAGCAAAAAATGAAAAGTGAATTAAGCCATCACTACTCCGTACTCCGTTGTAATGTCCAGCCGTATGCATACATAACGATACACGCAAAGTCCCACTTTCCAATGCCATGCGATGCCAATGCAGCGGCCACATCTTGGCCTGGAGAGAAGCCACAGTCGTCCCTTGCTTTTCCTAGTACTCAGAGAAATAGCCCAACCCAGGCCTTTTTCAGCGTTACATCTGTCTGGCAACCCTCAACGGCGCACAGCGTTGCCTTTCCATTAGAGGCGAAACCGAGAGTGGGGTCCTTGCTGCGCCGATTCTCAAAGCATCGTCTGCAATAGACCTGTTTGCAGAGAACTCGTCAGCATCACAAAAACAGCACTGCAAGAACGGGGATATCTTTTAAGGCAAGGGGCGCTTACATGGCCACAGGCTGTGACAGCCCAAAAATGATGTTCTTCCCGATCTTTTCGTGTCCGCGCCCGCTTGGCTGGCGGGTTATCAGCCCCTCCGTCCGGGTCATACATCAGTTCCTCACCACAACTGGCACACACTGCTACTACGTCCTCGCCGGTATCTCTCGTGAAGCCTTCTCGGGCAGGCGGTGGTGGAATATGTGGTGGCGGGCCGAGTAGTGGTTGGTCATTGCTACCGCCCATCCTGGGCACTTGCAGTATACCGTTCATCTGGTAGTTGAGCTCAGGTTGGTTGCCTCGTAGTGGGTTGACGGGTAGGTAATGTTGTCCGAGAATCTCCAAATCCACTTCTACCGGCTGGTGTCCGTGGTAAAAGTAGCCGTCTTGGGAAGCGCCACGAATGCGTCGACCGTTGCGTATGTGTGTGTTGGGGTTGGGGTTCTGGTTCTGGCGGTGAAATGGGAAAATATTGGGCAGCGCGGGCAGGTGACTGCGGGCAAACTGGCTGAAGCCGAAACTGAGTTGTAGTTCGGAGAATGTGTCGTTTTGTTGGCCACGACGTGGTCTTGCCGGCCTGACCTCTATGTATTCTGGGCTGGAAATATTTGCGCCGCCCTGTTGTCGTGGCTGAGCGTCAGGTGAGTCGTCCGTTAGGTCTATGACGGTCGGCCGGGACCCGGTACCACGCCGTGATCGCTCTTGCTGTTCCGGCAATCGGGCCGCTCGCAGCTGGAAAACCGGACTGTCTGGCTCCTCGGTCAGGTCGATGACGGTCGGCTCGCCTTGCTGCCGGTCCATAACGACGGCCTGTGCTTGTCGGGAACGTTGGTACAATTGGGGCAGTTGAGACGTGGTTCTAACCCTGTTATGCTGCTGCTGGTTCTGTTCTAGGTGCCTTGCCACCGCTTCCTGTATCAACTGACGCAGGGTTGCGTCCACCTCTGGTGGCGGAGAATTCGACACGAGTGGTGATGGCAGAGAAGTGCTGCTCTGGCTTCCACTGCTGAGCCTGTCACTACCCTGTCCCCCTTCTTCAATATCTACCGTCTCGTCTCCAGCGTAACTAGTTCCGCTGCTATTGTCTGAGGCTGACTCTGGCCTAGCTGGCATTGGCCGGGACTGCCTGGACTCGACAAAGTCGCCCAAGAAGAGCTCGCCCTCAGCAACGTCACCGTAGTATTGAGCGTTGTCAAAATATAAGGTGGTGGGATCGGTGATGATGTGGCCTCCGTTGAGCAGTCTTCCAAAGCCCTCTACAGAACTATGATCGTGAGGGGAAGAGCGTCGTGAGCGTCGTGAGCCCGTCGTGTTCGGCTGATTCTCGTAGCCTCCAACGTCGCTGTCTGGGCAAGGGAACGTGAGAGAGGGGGAGATGTGACGATGTCGGGATCAAATTCCTCTTCAGAATTAGCACTACTGTATTTGGGTGAGGGAGAGATATCCATGTCCTGGCCGTGAAGGTAGCGTGCAGCAATGCTTCTCGCCGGGTAGGAACTAAATTATTCCTGAAAAGAGGACGCGATAATCAGGTCGTAAATTGTGGCAAGTAGGAGCCATCGAGCCTAGCAAAAAAAATTGAAATTGAGTAGCACCGTGCAAAGCACTCTAATTGAAAATGGGCTGCTCTGACGGAAAACCCCTCCAGAAGGTATGTAGGACAGTGAATTCGAAGGCAGGCAGGCAAAAGAAGAGTGAGCGATACGCCGCCACGCAAGACCAGAAATGGCTAGGCAATTCTTGTAGTGTCCGCTATGGGAAGCCCCGCTTTGCCTTCTAGGGCAGTTCCTGACAAGGCTGCCTCTGGATTTTTTTTGCCATTACTTTTGACATAGCCTTTGGAAAACTACATGGGCTCTCCGTACATACAGCTAACCCAATATCGGGATAAAGATAATTCGATTTTATTGTGTCAAACTGGACAGGCTGCTCCATAGCAAGCATATCTGAAAAAGCACAACGATGCAGGCCAGACAATGTTTCGTACATCACATGATCAAAGAGGGCGGACGCCTTCTTTGCCTCTATATTGCCGGACATTGTATACTGCCTCCTACTCTTTGGCGCCTAGTACCGAAACCACGCCATCAATATTCACAGATAGCAGTTGCTTTGCCTCGGTACCCCACTGTACAGACACGGCGGGCGTCGCGCTGGACAATGTTTGTGACCACGTCTTCGCACCCTTGGCGTACTGCTGCACTGTCAGACCAGATGGGCCAGCTGTTGCCAGAAACTGTCCCGAGTAATCCCAGGCCAGTGCAGCCACGGTGCTGCCAATGTCCAGTACTTTAGCCACCGCCTCGTCGCCTTCCTTGCGCAGGTCGAAGATTGTGACTGTAGTCTGGCCCTTCGCCGTCGCCGCAATCCAGTAACCGTTCTCCGAGAAGACAATGACTTCCACGGGTGCTCCGAGATTAAATGTTGTCGCCTGCTCGCCCGTCTTGGTCATGAATACTTGCACGTCGCCTGTAGCCGTGCCTGCCGCGACAAGATGGCCGTCGGGGTGAAAAGCAATCGTGGTGAGAGCTGGAAAAAGGGACGTGTCAGCTTCACAGCAAGCACAAACAGAAAGACACAAGCTTCCGGGGCATCCATCTGCTGGTGAAAACACTCACAGGCGTTACTATGTGCGCGACTGACTCGAGACAGGGACTGCAGATCGTAAAATGCAATAGTCTTATCTGGCCCAACGGAAGCCAATATCCGGCCCGATGGGTGGACGGCCACGCCCGTCACGGCGCCGGCATGCTCACGCATCGCAGCAGCTTCCTTGCCCCCCACAAAAATCTTGATGCTGCCCTTTGCGGTACCCACGATAATTTTGGCGTCAACCCAAACCACCGCCGTCACCGGCTCGTCTACTTTCAACGACCGCTCTAGCTTTCGTGCCTCTACTGAGTAGATCCCGACACTGCCATCGAGGCCGGCGACCGCGGCAAACCTCCCGTCACTGCTTACGGAAATCGCCGTTGCTGTTACCACAGGGAGGATATCCGAAGCAGTCGGGGAGAAAGACGAGATTTCGTGTGCTGTTGCCCATCCAGCAGGCACAGGTCGCCGCTTTCGGGACTTGGAAAGACTGAGCGGAGAACATGTCAGCAATGCATATCCCAAAGTCAGTCGTACTCTCTATTAAACACACTTCTTCAGCGTCTCATCCACTACAGCCGCCAAGGCCTCAGGCAACTCTTCGTCGTCGACCGCCATAGAATCTCCGTTAGACGGTCCCGTGCCGCAGGCAGCGACTGTAACACGAGCTAGCGACTCTCTTGCTTCATCCCGCTCCTTTGTCAGGCGTGCGATGACGCGGATAGCAGCATCGTGTTGATAAAGAGCTGTTGCGAGCTCCATCCGGGTCTGCGCCAGCTGCTCCTGGAAGTTGTATGCCTCCAACGCCAGTGCATCCCACTCATTCTGGAAGGTCGCCAGAAGCGCCGGAATAGAAGTCAGTGTTGGCGGCCGCGGCCGCACAACACTTCCTGCCTTCAGAGGCAAAAGATCTTCCATATCGAGCTCTTCATCGGTGCCAGGTTCTTTTCCGTTCTGCTCGATGTACTTCTCGATTAATCGCTTCTCGTAGATGCTTCCAGTCTTTTTTGAGACCACGGGCTCTTCGGGGGCCTCGCCGGAAAGTGCGCACAGCATTTTTTCGATAAAAGTCGAGTGAGTGGGAGCAGGAAGGGAAGACGGGCGTTCGTTCTGTCCTTGCCGTTGTGGTCACTGTCTAGCAATTTTTTATCCTTCCATGCTTCGAAGTCGCGTTGATATTTTTAGGCTGGGGAGAGACGGGCAGCCAATCATATGACGCGCTGATAAGACCCCTTGACAACGCTATCGGCGGTTCGAACTGCGCTTCGTCGACCAGAGTACTCGCATGTACTCCGTACGGAGTACTCTGTAATGTCTTCTACTTTTTTCCTTTTGTTCTCTTTTTCAGCTATGCATATATAGTGGTAATCTATATGGTTAGCTCGTGCTTCGCTTCTGGATAAAATTTAAGTTCGTCATTATTATTTTAAAAATCTGTCTTACCTTTCAATAGAGCCTTTCGATGATTTATAACCTAGATTCAAGGTTGGCAAATCAAATTATTTCTTTCGTTCGCAGCTCTGTACTAAATCAATTAACTGATTACATAAGCTATACTTGATTAGCTTGCTAGATTTATGTATCTTAAGATATCTTGCTCTATAGAAGGCTACTAATAAATCCTAGTCTCCTTTAGCACCCTTGTTAGTAGTAAAATATACGTTAACAAAAGTTTCTTATAATATAGACACTTTAGGCTGTACAATCCTTAGCTAAGGGTAATTGTCAAGCTATAAAATGTGGTGCTTACTTATCAGGACTTAGTTGGTTGTATTACTAAAGTAGAGTAGAGGTGCTAGCCAGCCAAATAGTCACACCAGCCAAATGAGCACAATTCAACGCGATTTAACTTCAAAAAATCGCTGAAAAGCCAAAAAAATAGCTATGGACCAAGACGAAATTGAAGATCGATTGGCTGCGGCTATTCATTTTAAGGAAGCAAATCCGAAGTCGCCAGTTCAAGCCGTTGCGCGTCAATTCGACGTACCGCGCATGCAGCTTACTAGGCGCCTTAATGGCGGTTCTGGCTACAGAGGACGCCCTGCCACCAATACGCGCCTCTCGCAGCCAGAAGAGGCTGCTTTATGCAGGTATATCGACAGGCTAGAGATGGTAAACCTTGCGGTGCGGCGGGAGTTTATTACGGAGGCAGCGAATACGATTTTATGTGAGCGGCTTAGTGATTCGGATTACGAGCCGGTTGGTCTTCACTAGACCTCTCGCTTTATTCAGCGCCACAAGTACGCCGTAATGCGCCAACAAACCCTTGAACTAAACCGTTAGACAGAAGAAAGCATACTTAAAGTGAAAGAGTACTTTAAAAAGCTGCAAAAGGTCCTAGCAGACGAAGGTATCGACCTATACGACATATGGAACATGGACGAAACTGGGTTTCGAATTGGGAAGGGGAAGAACTAGCTGGTAGTTACAAAGCAGCGAAGGGCGCAGTACTTGGGCATGGCAGAGAACAGAGAATCTGCTACTGCAATTAAAGCTATTTCGGCTAGTGGCCAGTGGCTTCCTGCTTTTCTAATCTTAGCTGGCAAACGTTATATAAGCCGTTGGTATACTCTCTTAGAGCTACACAGTAATACTTTGATCTCTTTAAATGAATTAGGCTATACTAACGACGAGATTAGCCTTTAGTGGCTATAGCACTTTGACGAAAATACAAAAAGACAAACAATGGGCTCGAAAAGACTGCTGATACTTAATGGGCACGGCAGCCACTACACGCGCCAGTTTATTAAATACTATAACAAGAACAGTATAATCCCTTTTAGTCTTTCTCTGCATTTAACCCATTTGCTTCAACCTCTTAACGTTGTGGTTTTTTAGCCGTTAAAGCACTATCACGCCAAAGCTCTTAATATTATGGCTCGTGACGGACTAACAGACTTTGGCAAGCTTAACTTTCTTTCGATTATAGAAGACGTTTGCCGGCAAGCGTTTAAGCCGCTTACAATCACCAGTGCATTTAAGAAGACTAGTATTATACTATACAACCCTAAACTAGTGCTTAATTAGCTTAAAATACAACAAGGCTATTAGCAAAAGCAACAGCGTCTACCAACACCACCTTTATTATCGTCATCACCACCTAGTACACCTACTACCTTACGCTAAATTAATAAGGTAGCTAACAAGCTAGAAGACTAGATGGAGGATAGTACCGAATTAGACCAAGAGACCTACAATAAGCTTCGCCAATTAATTAAAGGCTCGATTACCGTTGCTGCCGAATTAATTCAAACAAAGAAAGACCTAGGCCGCACCAAGCTTGCTGAATTAGCAAGAAGAAAAGCACAATTAAGAGCAAATACAAGCCTACAGTCAGAAGGGACCCTTAACGTAAATACTGCCCAGGAGATGGTTGTTTAAAAGGATGAAGAGAGAGAGGCTAGAGAGCAGCGGGCGATTAAGACTGCGGAGAAAAGGTACTACAACGCAATGAAGAAGTGGTCTATGGCTGCCGCGAAAAGGGCTAGGGAGATGAGAATCGAAGGGAGATTAGGCGTATATGAAATTCGGGAGGCTGGGAAGCGCATGCGCCGCTTAAAGCGAGGTTAAAGTAGGAGGTGGTGATAATACAGACATAGTGCTCATTTGGCTGGTGTGACTATTTGGCTGGCTAGCACCACCTATGGTGGTGCGCGTTTTTTAACGCGCGCCCTGGGTGGGGCGGGGCACGAGTAAGGGTATTCTACACACGCGTCCCCACGCACCGGTTCGGCAACCCGTCGCTTACTAAGCGTCGGACTTAACAAACTATCTTAACACGTTGCACGGGACTAGCATAGCCACTTAGCTGTGCTACGCCCTACTAAAGTTGCGCTACACCGCATCTTCTAGTTATGTATAAATTAGCTGGCAGGCTGTTGCCTACTAGTCTACTATAGTTTGTTAAATTAAAGTCTTAATATAATAAGTATAAACACATTTAAGCCTTTATAACTATACATTGCATACTAACCTTTATAATGCAGCTATTTTTAAAGGATAAAACTCTGTATAAGGTAGAGCATTAATTAACTAATTAAGGCTTACTATGAAGGTTAAAGGAGGCTATACGTAGCGGTTATATAACGTAATGCACTATAAGGAGCAAGAGGCTAAATAGGGTCTAGTGTGGGCGAAAGAGTGTTGTATACTAAGGAAGAAATAAATACATCGCGACCCTTCTAGGGATCCGTATTAATACTAGTGTCAGGCCCCGCTTTTGTGCCTTCTAACCAATTACAGGCCCGTACGGCCAAGTAGGGCGGAAGGGCCACAGTGTGGCGGATTCTAATGCTTGACACTCCCCCTAAATACGCCACGTAGGCGCACCGCAATGTACTAAAATCATCCTTAGCAGCCCTTTCACGGCTGCCAGCCTATTAAGCGAGGCAACAGCCTCTTAAACGCTGCCTTAGGCAGCGCCTTCGTTATAATATTAGCGATCTAATCCTTAGACTTTACGTATCGTACCGTTAACAAGCCGCCTAGTACGCTTTTACAAAAGTAGTACTACTAAACGTTAAAGTGCTTTAAACGCTCTCTAAATTCAGGCTTCTTTGTAATGCTAATCGTAGAGGTGTTGTCCACAAACAATTAAATGTCGGCTTAGAGGCCTATTTTAAGCATAAATTGCTTGATCTAGCGGGCCTGCGTTGTTGCATAGTAGGCAGCGCTGTATTTAGCTTTATAGGTAAAGGTGCTAACGGTTAGGAGCTTCTTAGCTCTCTAAGAGACTAGCCCTCTTAAAATCCTAAAGACAAAGCCGTACGTAGAGTGACGATTAACTGGATTATCGGCTTAGGACGCATTAACCTACCCTTTAACGCAAATGTACCCCTTTAAAGAGGGCTTTTAACGGCGGTAGACTATTGCGTAGTCTTTCTTGCCTTATAGGTAGCGAAGCGATTGCTTAGCTAACTTGGCATGCGTTTCTCTAGGTGATTTTATTACCTTTAAGTGCTAGTGTATAGTAAAGAAGATATTTAGTCTTATTATTATACTAGCGTAGATTAGCTTACTATTTATATACTAATATTAAAAGCTGTTTGCTAAAAGCTTATGCTTATTAAGAGTTACTAGACTAGTAATTAAGGTTGTAATAAAGTGCGATTTGTTTAGGCCTTTATATTTAAAAAGGTTGCGAATATACGCTAACTAAGAGAGGCTAATCTAAGTACTCTTCTTTATAGTAGTAATCTTAATCTTAATACTTAGTAACTATTTAAGCGTTAGTGTTATTTCTATCTTTAGCAACTAACGTATACTAAGTTTAAATAAAGCAATGTTAGTTTTAGCTTCTTTATAAAAAGCATTGTTAATATGCGTTACTACGGTTATACCTTTACTATAATACATAGTAGAGTTTATTATAAAAGGCCTAAGCCTTACTAATGCTATAGTTTTATATAGCTTTTTTTGCTAGACATAGCTAGCTTGCTTTAAGCTATATAATGCTTATTATAGCTAAATAACGCGATTTAGCACTTAGTTAAGCTAGCGTGCTACTTTAGGTTTTTATTTAAAGTACTACTAAAATAGCTCTTTTTGTTTTATAAAGATATCTTTGTTTAGTAGTCTATATAAGTAGGCAGTAATTACGTTAAATTAATGTAAAGTTTAGTTAAACTAGATAGCTAGTGCTATAAGCATACGCTAGAAGTTTAATTAAAAAGTTAATATAAAGGTTTTGTTATAGTTAAAGCCTTGCCTTTGCTAAAAGCCTTTAGCTACTAGCCTTATCTTTTTCTTTATCTTTTTTTAATTTAGTCCTTGCTTTTGCTATAGCACTTACTTACTAGTAATTGTCTTTTTACTTTTCAGTTAGTTTATAAACTTAAAGACGCCTTTTATAATTAAGCTATCTATCTCCTTAAATATAGCCTTACGCTATTAATCTAACTTACTTCTTAATAGTGTAACGCTGCCTTAAGAAGGGGACTGACGCAGGCTACGCGCAAGCCGTACATAGTATACGCATAGTGTATTAGATGCACATTATAAACTAGAAGCGGTGCTGGTGGCGCAGGCTGCGTGGCGCAGTCTGCGCACAGGCTACA